ATAATTAATAATGAGGTCTTAATTTTAAAAATATAGGTTTAGTAATATAGAAATACACAGTCAACATTAATAAATATTTTGCAACTAATTAAACAAAATCATATACATAATAGAAATAACTAATAACCAACACTATTTATAAAAACGTTCGCATTAAAGTCATCGGGTTTCTATCTTGCACAAGTAAAAATAATTTCACTTGCGTAAAGGGTCTATTAATGGTTTGGTAAAAATTATTACCTTCACTCAAACGACCACCACCGCCCCCACTCGCCAGTACTTTTTCAAAGAATCTAAAATTATTTTAATATTTGTTTGATGCATTTCAATTGTTAAAGGTTAAACCACGTTTTCACGGCGTCACAAAAAACTAAAAACCTATGTATAAAAAAGTTGTATGAAAGAATTATAAATCTGTGTTAGTAGGAACTAGGAAGTCGTACGATCGTGGTTATTAAGGTACTTTATCGATTTATCATATAACATATATATATATAAGTACAGAAAAACTTCCCCTAATGGACACCTCCCAACAATGGACTTTTAGGAAACAAGGAGATTTTCATTACTATTTCCTATGAGGAAACCATCGAATAGCGGAGACCCACGTATTAAGTTTAATTTAAAAATAATGACAAAATGATGTCATCGACACCCACTCACACTGGATCTAGATGTATTTAGGAATTAGAAAATCGAAAAGAAGAAAAAAGTGGAGTTTAAAAATATGTCTTTAAATGCCTTTAATTGATTTAAAAGTCGTCTCGCATATTGATTTTTAATAACTATATGAGATGCATGCATATAGTGAGAGAGACCTTAGGTTGTGGGTTACTAATACATCTTCTACACTCATTCAGTGTTCCAATGTTTATAATAATAATCTGGTGGTTCCATAAACTATAAATTCATGATAGATACGAACCGAAATAGCGAATATTTCGAAGAGTTCAAACGTGTGCATATTGAGTTGACCGCGGCAACAAGTCTCGTGATGTATAAGTATAATATAGATAGGATCATTTAGTCTAGATGAGAAACGTAGATGAGTACTCAGTGGCGTATTAATTGCGACACGGCAAAGGTATCAATATCTCCCCCCAGAAGTGCCACTTTTTTATTAATGAATTCTCAAGTACCAAATATTAATTATTGTTTATCAAGATGGGTATTGGATACCTAACCTACTATACCCACAATTTATTTCTAAGCCATAAAATGAGTTTTAAGACTTGTGTAAAAACAAACAAGTACGTATAAATAGAATAAAAATGTATTTAAATTGTGGTGGGAGGGAGGGCTCGGGGTTTTTATTTTGGTTGGTAAATTATTTTTTATACCCCTAGTTATTTACCCAGCTACTCCACAGTATATGTATGCAGACCGTGTACACCGTATTGAACAGCAGCCACTGTACACTGGCTTGAAGACCACACAGGTCCCCTGAGGCCTGTAACAATAATAAATTATCGGGTTCGGATAGTTAATCTGATAAAGTAAAGAATACGTAAAGCATTCATCGAATTATTCAGATCCATCGATGGGCTTAACATTGTATGGTATCCGAGCCTTCAAAGTATAACTATAAATATCCACCGAGCCGGACCTGACTATGTACATTGGGGAGGGGGGGGGCTTAGTGCCACGGCCCCATCCAAGCCCGTATTTAAAAAAAAGTTGTATATTTAAAAAAAAAAATACTATAATGTCGAAAGTTTTCTAAAAATTATGACTTGCGTCCCCTCCTCCCAACAATGTCTCTGAAACCGCCCCTGACTGTGTATCATAATATTATATGATGTGGACGGACGGATAGGTGAATGCCACTGTGGACATCCTGTATAATATGTAATCGTATGTGATACGAAGAAAAATATGTGATTTTATTTATACACCTACCTACAACAGGTGGGCCCGTGTCTGTGCCAGCCAATAATGCTGCGATCGAAAACGTCCACTCAACTACGCCGCCACCGCCGTCATACACTCGCACACATTTCACAAAACGTTCGCGCGAGCGAATCATATAGGTAATATGATTATGTGCCTATAGGTAATATTGAATAATATAATAACGCACATTTTACCAGCCCTCCTGCCAATGTATTTTTGTCGGATTTGCATAAAACCCGTTATCTCGAAATTGACGAAAAAAAAACTTCTAACTTTTCCAACTTGGGGCACCCGGGTATAATGTGAAATTTACGTAGGTATATTAATAATCACCGATGGAATATAATGATACAGAATACTGTGACTGAGACTACAACAGGAGTGGGCTGCAGCAGCAGTGTATGTTAATTAATTGGAAAGCCAGGCACTCTATACCTACCTAGTTCACGATATTGTGTGAATATTTAAATGCAATATGAGTACAAAAGATGCCCTCCATGATTTTACCACGACTCACAACAAAAATCATTTTTGAATAATATTTTTTTGTAACATGTTATAATATAACAATCATGGTATCAAATTATTATATGGTTTTATCTTACACGCAGCTGCCAGCTGACGTATTCCTTATGATCTTTCGATTCTTTCAGTTGTTAGCTATTTTTAAAGTCGATTGGTCGATAAAGAACAAAAAAAACTTGAACGACGCCCTTATTGCAGGACTTGCAGCACTGTAGCAGCAGTCAGCAACAGGTAGGATTGTAGGAGGGTGCGAGGCACGCAGTGCGTTCGTCAAACGAGAAATATATTATTTTGTCTTTCGCACAGCTTTACCTACGATGAGCGTCTGTAATGCACAATATAATTATTGATCAGGTACCTATAGAAAATGAATACATTAATCGTTGTCATCATAAACGACTGCAGTCGAACACACTCGGAAGAGCAAAGACGTAGGGCGATGCTGAGAAATGCTTATCACACCTAATATCACGTTTCGTTTTTTTTCTTTTTTTTTTTTTTATAACATGTAACAACCATCGTATGGGGGGGGGGGGCAATAAAGATGGGTTTAATGGTACCTATACAGACACCGCAATACTCACGTCGTTTACTATATGACGGTACCTAGTATACAGTGTCAAGCGGTGATATAATAACGATCACAATTATTATTATTTCATTTTATAAACGACGACGACGACGACGACCGAGACAGTGTTGAGTGTTGCGCTATGGTATAGACCGCAGCAGTCGTTGTTGTTGTGTAACGATATATTGAATCCGACGAGTCGGCACGCAATATAACAATATAACATAATATTATAGCCCACGAGCGGTATCCCACCGGTATACACCTATATACCACCAGTTTACCTCTGTAACACGTTGGCACCGCGTCGCGCACAATTATACGTGCGTCGTCTTCCAGCCATAATAATATAACGGTACATCCAACACATAGTGTATATGTGTTATTGTATTTCCTATAATATAATGTGTATATACGCACGCGCGTGTGTGTCGTTAATTTTATAATAACACGCATAGGTATAATGTGTGTAATGTATTACTTCCGAGGTCCCTTCGCGGCGAACCTATCACCCATATATAATACCAAGTGCATATACATATATAGTGCATAATATACCTATATATGACTATAACTACACGCGGAGAGTTGAAAGGTTATTGATTGTTCGTGAGCGATATCATGCAGCACTATTATGTATCCCGACGATACAATATTTATATGTATATATATATATATATATATACGTGTGAGTATATAACATACGAGCGCGTATCATCATACACCCACTGCAGCAGTAAATAATATATTATAATTTATATTGTGAGCCTGCCCGCCATTTTAGACGGCGTTTTATTATGCACGCCGCGGTCGTATAACATTGACGTGTTGTAAGACGTGTGCGGAAAATCGTAAAAACATTTTTTCGGCGCTCCGTGTCGGTTGCGCGGGCGAACAGGTGATTGTTCCCGACACGAGCGGCTGCAGATCGGTGGCTGCTAGCGGTCAGTGTTCGTATGACTCGCGGACGCGACTAACGAGTAAAATAATAAGGCCGAAACGATGGCGGTAAAAACAGTTAGTTAGCTGCAGGTATAGTGAGTACGGAAGGACCAAGACACGGACCGAGCAAAATGATAGAAGGTTTTAAAAAAATAGGACGCCTCATCGCTCTGCTGACAATCGTACGATATTAATACATGTCGAGTTTACCCGTCATTTAGCATAAATGTGGCGGCTGTAATACACAGGGTTGTGTTGAATTTGAATTCGATAAAAAAAACAATATTCACTGTAAGTTGTCCGGTAAATAATAATTTCCGTACATAGTAGCTGGGTACCGAATAAAAGTTTCAAGTCCCTACGAATTATATTTTTTGAATTATAATAAAATAACAGATATTTATCATTATTATATATCAAATGTTGCCAACATTTGTACCCAGAATGCCTTTAAAAAAAAATTATGCATTTGTAATGTTGCTATTTTTAGGTATCTGTAAAATCAACCTTAGAAAATCCTTGTATTGGATTTCCGAGCCTTGGCTCATCAATAATTACCTACAAAATAAGTAAGTAATTTGTAATGTTCTTGATTCTGACAAAATGTATCAATATTTGAAATTCAAATTTTTATGTTTTGAGAGAATATTGTGCCTGTGTATTTTTATTAATTTTAAACCACTATTATGTAGAACTTAGGATGAACCTTGTATTCAATTTTAAGACTTTTTGACCAATCATAAATATGTTTGACAATATTTAAAGAAAAAATTGAAATAAATTGAAATGCCTTTGAATAGCTTAAAATAGTCATACGTTATTGCTGTTGGTGTACATTTAGACCAGTGTTTTCGATGCAATGTGAAACATAATTAACTATATAGGTATTGATCATTCATTTTTTTGCATAACACAGTTTATTTATATTTATATAGTATTTATTGACTAATAATTATAGTATAATACAATGTATGCTTAATATAGTATACACTTTGCACACAATAAATTAAGAACTAGTTTTCTTTATGTCATAACATAATTATTCCTAGTAATTTTAGGAGATTAAAAACAAAAAATATGCATCTTTTAATAACTTTTAAAATGAACTTGTGATGTAACAAAGTACACGAATAAACTAATTTTAAAAGTAATTATGTTAATATACAAACAAACAAACAATCTGCTGGTAAAACTTTGTTCACGTGTTTTACTGAAGCTTCAATATACTTGTAATAATATTACATAGTAATATAATTATTATATATTTAAAATATATTATATTGTCAAAATTCTTCACATGTTAAGGGGCAAATAAATCCGGTCAAAGGCACGGGTGTTATTTTCATAAGTTCTTAGAGGTCGACTGAAAATAACAACGTAAATGCTGTGTGGTACTGGTGTCACGCGAGTCTTCCAAATTGTCTAAAACAATACAAAAGACGATTATTAATTAAATAATTAATGTAGTACTATACTTAACACGCGTTTATGGTTGAAAGGTACATGCCCATGTTCTTCATCGACTGAAGAGCATAATCTAGGGGTGGAACACTGATGTTTTATTTTGGTTTAATTATTTATTGATTCGTTTTTATTTTTTCAATAACGCGTACTATTCTATTATTATTAAGCTTTTATATTCTATTAACATTTCAGAAGCACACTTTATATTGACACTATTGTTGTTACTCGATATATGTTTATGTTAATTTAATACAATTAAGCTACCTACTGTCTGATGACCTTTACTTTTGTAAATTAGTTAGGTCTTAGGTCTTCATGCAGCGTCTGGACGCAAATTCTTGTCAGCGAGTAGATGCGGAATGAGAGTGGCTGTATTATTTCACTATCCGTTGCAAAAAGACGCCAAAGGGGAAACGGTAGCAGTACAATATATTTATAAACTCGAATGTATATTATAGAAGATAATATGGAACTTTATTATTTATTTGAACGAGCTAATTCAATTATTATAAACAACTTGAACGATATCAAAAACGATACAAATATCAATTACAAGTATAGGGACCTAGAGATTGTAAAATATAACAAAATACAAATGAGCCCCTCCCCCCTCGGAATTACGAGGTAAATGAGCCCCTGACATAACATACACGTTTCAGCACTACATCACATCATAATCGTCAGTTTGTGCACCAGCTCTTTCCTCCTATGTATACGATGAGTATGATCCGCACAGCTTGTAAGAACGATCAGAATACATCCGTCGCGAGAGAACGGTTAAAAACAATATCGGAGATGCCGCAGTCGGAGAAATGATGAAAACAATATTCATCGGGGCGATGGTATCGCGAAACGTTGTAGAGTAATATAAACATTCCTTTGATGTCAGTAAACCGGCGGAAATAACGTTACTATTACGGCGGCGAAGAGTTATATACGTGAATTACATAATCGATACAACTATGTGTATAGTAGTCTAGCTGAGTGTATGTGTGTCAGTAAATTTATTTGACTTATTATTATTATTTATTATTATCATCTTACACCTTTTAAACGTTATTAATGTCATTATAATGGTATGTGCTGGAAAATAATAACCACTAAATTATAATGATGGAAACACGCCTGCGCCTGCGTCATGGATTATGGATTATTGCAGGCGAGATAATAATACATCTGATCACTCAACAGTTCAACACCCATCAAATCAATTTTTTTTCCTTGTGACACCGCTGCTTGGAGATTGAACTGTTTGCACATTGCTTGGCCCCCAGACAGCATTGTTTATTGTACAAAAAAAAAACGGTGAGAAAAATACAACCCGTACAACGGTGTATTTTACCTCCATGCCTTTAAAATACTTATTTGCTACCTACATAACATTGAGAGGTGATTATTGTTTATACAGTCCGATTTTAAATTTCAACACGAAAATTAAATAATCTTTTATATCAAATATGTTAAGTTCGTGCCAAGTAGTTCGAAAAAATGCATGTTCAATTCGACATAATTTACCAAATACACTCGCAACAAGTGTTGATATTTTATGCATTTATTCAAATATATAGGCAGTGTGCACAATCAGTGGCGGGACATAAGGCTCAGTGTTGCCGCAGCTGCAGTACCTAGTCAAAAGTGAGGTGGCAGCGGCTAAACGGCACCGAAGCCTATGCTAACCGATCTCTTTCGGTCACATTATATTTACATTAAATTTTCGTTATAAATAATATTATATATTAAAGTATAATATTGTGGAGTGCCGGGCTTTGGTGGTGGTAAATAAATAAATATGAAATTGTGCAATTTAAAAATTTAAGTTCAGTCCGCAACCGTGCACAATGACGAGAAGTAACGTGTGATTTTTAAAACGGACGTATAAAATATAAAACATAACACTCACTGTTGAGAAAACTGTTTGGGAGAAATAGTTTTTCGTCCCCGAGGCCTGCAGTCCTTTGTTGCCCTGCTGGGTCGTACGACGGTCTTTCAACATGAGTTTTCACGTTTGGTGTTGAAAACCTTCTGAAATTTAGGTCCCGTAGCCGTCGTGAAGTTTTGGCCGCTCGGAAATACTTGTCCAGCGTCGTTTTACCACTAAGTCGATCACTGCATTTGGGCGCACGGGCGGTCGGTACCTTGAAAACTCTTACTTCCGGTCTCGTCTGCTGCACGCCACCATGATCGACCGGAACCAATGTGTCTGATGAATATTCGCTGCGACGGATTTCAGTTACTTCAGGCAGATTTTCCGAGCCCCGACCAACTCGAAAATCAGAAGGGGCCTTCAAATTGTTTTCTATTTGGCGGGACAATCGACCCACAACCGCGTCGTCCCTCCGGATGGAGTCAAGATTTATCGTTGAGAAATTCCGTTCAGATTTCCAGTCCAACGGATTATCCCACTGATTCCACGTCGCCGGCGGCATCCTAAAAATGAACATCCTTACATTTAATAATAAATATATAGTTTTCAAATGACGGAAAAATAAAAATTTCTTATTTCAAACAAATAGATATTTAAGGAAAAAGTCCAGGCTAGGGCAGAGCAATAATAATAACAACAACAACAACAACAACAAAAACTATGCATTAATTTCATTAGGTAGCTAGTCTATTCATATAGTATAGCATCTGAAAACTATTTTTTTTTAAATATTTTGATTTTCCAACAAAATAAATGTTTGTGCTATCGTTCCTATTCGTTATATCCATAAATACTATAAAGTGCTTTTGGGCATACTTTATAATTTTAGAGTATATTCACTCCCCAATATGCACTGAATTTAAACACCATTATTTTCTTATTTTTTTGATAGTATTGGTGTAACACCATTATGATAAAATATACCTGGAAGGTGACAAGTGACATTTTTTATTTACACTTTTTGAATCTTCAATAAATCTCTGTTTCGCGTCATATCCAGTGGTCGACAGTACGGAAGAGGTTTCACGTTTGCCCTCATCGTGATATTTTTGTAGAACACCGAATGTAAAGCGTTTTTTCGTGCTGAAACGCAGTGATAAAAAAATTATGTTATTTTAAACAAGAATTAAATATATTTATTGTTTTTATGAGTTTAGAAATAATAATAATATATCCTTACGGTGGTTCCAATTTGTAAGGATTAATGTTTTCTTTGTTTGTCAGCAATTGGTCTGTTGGAACATAAAAACCAAATATAATCTATGAAACCCTCAAACTTAAAAAATTAATAGTGGCACTAGGTGGGTATTCATTTTATTGAACTCCATACGAGCTTTTGAAAAGTGTACTCATATTTCTATTTAATTCACATTTTTTGATCTTATATTTAGAAAATAACTTTACCTTCCCTGTAGTATTGATTTATATTTGAACGAGCGATTCGTTCAGATTTTGGGAGACGGACACCTACCACCGTTTTAGTGTCTCCCATTTTTTCTTCTACTGTCGATTTATCATATTCAAATTTCTCATTCGAACAACTGTCTTCTCTGGGACATTTTAATTGCATGCTGAGAAGTATAAAAATAAAAAATACACAATGTCTCGTAGATTATAAATTATAATAAGTTATTAAGTGACAATGTTTTAAAAAAAACCATAAATCGAGTATTATTAACGATGTTTAAAAACGGTAAACTAAAGACTAAACGGTTATTGTTTTATAATTAATTGCACAACCTATATACATGTACCAGGTACCTATTGTACTCAGTATATATTATATTATTGTTCCGCATTCAAACGAATAAACTGTGATGATATGGTCTACGTTACGGGAGCAGTGTTGAGAATAATTGCAATTATTATCACGGCACTATAATGATATAAGCAATACATAATAGTATTGCATAAATTACGCATCGTGTTTGTTATACCTATGTATATCGTATATTGTTATAATTATGTACTAGATAGTGCAGGACTGCAGGAGTGCAGCATCAATGATCGAATATCCCGTAGCAGTAGCAGATACCCAACCACAATAAAATACTAATATGTTATAGTGACCAAAACAATTATAATAATTGATAATACATACGGTTCGATAACTTCGGTCCGAATTTTATTTTTCAAATAATTTGTTTGAATCGTACCTAAACCAGAAATATTTTAGCCTGTTAAATTTATGTACAATTTATGCACGGGTTTCAATGTAAATTTTGAATACAAAATTTTCAGCAAACAATTATTTTTTTAACAGTAAGTTGGGTATCAATTAAAAACAACTCACTTTCTCTGAAACAATACTTCTCTATTGCCGAATCAAATGCCTCAGAGATGACATGATTATTATCTTCGGGTACGAATAAATCACCGAATACGTCGTCATTGATTAACCTTTGATACAAAGATATGCTTTAGGCAACAGTGTTTAATTATATAATAGTAGGATAACACTATATTTGAATACGTAAAAACTTACTCATCGTAACAGAAATAGTTATTTAAATCGTCTCTGTCGAATTTAAAATATTCATTTAACTGTCCTATAGTAATAATAACAGCAGTTTTATTATTGAATTTAAAGATTTCAAATGTTAACCAGTAATAATTTAAACGTCCTACTATTGTTTCGGCAATAAGTTTGTGTTTCGAACATATCGCCTGCAATTCTATGTGTTGCAACACTACTTTCATTGGCATAACGCTTAACATCAGTATCCTCTTCCACACGCAGTTTATTCATGACTTTAGGGTCCTGATCTCTCGAAGGAATGTTATGCAAATATTTTTTAATATTTAATTGTATTTTGTCTTTATTGCCTTGTTTTGTTACTCTCGAAGTTCGTTTCTTCAAATGTGCAACAATAATTTGATAAATTAGAAAAATATATATAATGCCTAGTCGCATAAAAAAACATTAATTAATATAATACTTTTTTCTGTAGTGGAGAGGGAAAATTTTTCAACGGCGATTCATCATTACAATTTTCTTCACTCATAGATTCTTTAACATGTTCTTCATGATCGCCTGGTTTGAACTTAATCTCAATATCGATTCCGACTACAAACAAATAAATAAATAATCTGTTATAAATAGTAATATGTACAAAAAAAATATAAAATTATTAATATATTGTGTTATGTAAAAACTAAAAACCCACCCCAATAATCACTTATTAAACAAATAGTGATTTCGTAGTTGTGTTTATCCAAAAAAAATTTATTTTGTAATGATGTAATGATATTTATGACTCCTCCTTGTTCCAAAAATTCTTCATTACTAGAAAAAAAATGATAATTTACGGTACTGAAATGTAATTATAATAGGTACTAATACCTATATGGGTATATATATATTAATGATAAAATACTACCGTATTTGTTGAACTTTTAGCAGACGATTTTCAGAATCACCCACTAAAACAGTTACGGTTTGAAGTAATACATTTGCTGAAATATTATGGTGATCAATTAAAAAGAGTGTTACGATAACTTGTTCTAAAATTTCGTCAAAAGTTGTAAGCACTTTATATTTTGGAATCTGTCGAATAAATTCGTGTATGTGGTTTCCAAACGGAGGTTGTCGGTTGAGGATCTGGGAAAATAGTAACATTTAATCGTTACCCATTAAAAAAATATGTCAAATACTAGCATATTGATTTTTGTAGTATTTTAACTAAGATTTATGTAAGTACGGTGGTTTGGTAGCAAAATCATTATTTTTTTATGCTTCTGAAAATATACTTACAATGTCTAAATTATAAATTTAATTGATCATATACCAATTTAGAAGGTACTATTTTAAAATTCAAATATTTTTTACTCAATTTGTGTGGATCATTATTATTATTTATATTTTAATATTTATGTAGCTTAAAAATGTGAACACTCGTCATCCTTCTTACAAATTACACTTAAATAGCCTTTTGTCTTTACTCATCAAAATTATATCTATAAAAAATATTAGCAACATTTCGGTTTGTGGCTATTGGTTTGTATTATGATGTAAATCAACATAGACCGTATGTTAAGTAATTATTGTTCATTACATTTTTAAGTTTTAAAATTAATTTTGTCATTTTTCATTTAACTTATACCATGCAAGCGGTTTGACTCTCAGGTCAAGGATAATAAAATAAAAAAAGATGCGTCCTATAAATGTGGTGTCATCATTACAACTTCTATGCCCATTTATGGGTCTATACAATATATGCACGGAAAAGTTACTAGGTTATAGGTACCTATGTAAACATCATATTCATTAATAAAGTAGTCGAAGGATGTAAATAAATAGTTAAAAATGAAACTTGATTATTTATTTTTTCAGATATTTTATTTATTTACCCACGAGAAAGCTTAAAAGTACTAACAAAATCAATAATTATTATTTTGTTTACCTATTATAATAAATGTATCAATTAATTCATAAATTTAATAATAATATCTCTATAATTTACATGTAAGAAATTATTTCAAAGCATTTATTTGAAATAAAATTTAATCCACATATATATAGGTACTATATGAGCGTAAATTACACAACTTACCCGTTCTAAATCTCTAGGATCTGTATCCCTGATTGATTTTAATGTAGTTTTTCCATTTAAAACAAAATCTTCTGATAACACTTGACCTACTCTTGGAATAAGCTTTGATACAAACTTTGATTGCTCCCATAATTTCGTTGTCACACATTTGGCTAAAATGCACGCGACTCGAGCTATTTCGAATTTTTTACCTTTGAACGTGATATCCCTTAAAGCTGAAACATATAAATATCTTAGTCACGTGTAACACATAGAGACTACACATACGAGTATCACTGTAGCTTGCAGCCTGTACCCTTAGTTAATCGTGTTGAAATTAAAATTATTTTACTCGCGTCTTGTGCTAGCGAACTGTCCGTAATTTTTAACGTCCCTAGGGTTGCTTGTAAAAGGCTATAAATAAAGGGCAGATGCATTTGAAGTCATATACAAAACCAATTGAAAAAAATATCAAACAAACTACCTATTTTAAATATAAATAAAAAGTTACCAATTGATTTTAGTTTCTCGAGTATTTATTCCTTCTTTGATGGGAAATCGTAAAACATTTGCACCAGGTAATTTATTTTTATTCAAAATATTCAAAGCTCCTTTTTCAGATCTTCTCAGTTTTATGTACTCGAATTCTTTAGAGAGAGCCAATAATTGTATCATATCATTTAAGGTCTCAGTTCCTTTTAGCTAAATAAAGGTCAACAAAGTCACACAATTACAGTATTCGTAATTTAACAAAAACAACACAATTATTTTTCACCGGCTCAAATTATCATTATTTTCAATCCCCGTATTGGTAGACATCTTATTTTAGTTTTATAAACTCAAAATTAAGAATTATGAGTTCCATAAATAAATGATTGTACGATAATGACGAGTTAATTTTACTAAGTGTTCAAATATCAAATGTTAGCGTAGTCATAACTGTTACAGTGTAATCCGTATCATTGTACCACTTTTTAAAAGTTTAAAAGCAGGCACCCAAATTAACAAATGAATAGGTAAGTCACTTATAAGTTATTTGACTTTTAAAATAATTTCGATTCTTGCTCAATTTTATTTCATAAGCTAAATAAATGGAGGTCAAAATAAAGAAATATTTTTTATATAGATGCAGACAACTATTTTAATACTATTCATGTCTTGATTAATGTTAATCATATTATACAGGTTGATTTATAAGTATAGGTATGCTCATCCTCAATTTTTCATCTAATTTAATTCTGATTTTTGGAACTTTTAAATATACTTAAGGACTCTTTGTCTTGTGGAAAAACGTATTCCTGTTTTTCAAATGAGATCCCCTCCTTTTTTTTATACTGTACATTATTAAGCCGATAACTTATCTGAACATTTTGGCATATCAAAATCTTAAGTCGAAAGTTTAACTGTATGTGCCGATGATAATAGGAACCATGATAAGAGATTTGGAAGATATAGAGCCATGGTGATTTAAATATTATAGTAATTAATACTAATCTATCAACATTCATGATTTGTAAAAATAATCCAATTATTATGAACACTAGCTCCAATATTACATATATTTTATATCTTTGTAAAACCATTTTTAAGGACTATTATCCTTAATATAAAAAATTGAATGAATATTCTGTTGAATCTCTGTATATTTATTGATAATATTAATATTGGGAACACATTGAACATACTTGCATATATTTTTTCATTGTTACAAAGCTTATTGAATACTTAGCCATTATTTCGCATTCTGGTTTTGAAGTGATTTCATTATTCCCATCGACAAAGTTGATTAACCCCGTGCATGCTAGTGCTTTGATTTCCGTTAAACACAAATCTGAAATTGTAAATAACTTATTTGATTTTTAACTAATAACTAAACCATTTTTTTTCTGTTCAAAAAACTGAAAACGGGTGGTAACTGTTTAGCACAATACTGCCACCCGGTCCCGTGTCGTTTATTCACCAAATACACCTAAATTATAATTAATTATACACACGAGAGAGCCTCTAACCACCCGAAAAAAGCTGGCCATCGACCCACAAAATAAGCACATTTACCTATCCGTCCACCTCCTGCCTGTCTGATGTGTTCTGCTGCCTCCTAACTAATAACTACCTCTAAGTTGGTTTTCAATACAATAATGCCTACGTCATAAAGATAAAATGAATAGACAAAAGGTGAACAAATTTAAGTATACGCTGTAACAGTGAGTGTTATCCATATTGTTTATTAAAATCGATATTGATTATCGTCGCTTCAATTATTTTACGCACTTGCAGTGCCTAGTATGAAATGCATTTGTGCATGTCTAATAAACGCATATAAAAATTTTTTTTCTTCTTATACATTTGATTTTGCACAAGAATTTATTATTAATGCAGATTTTAATAGAAAATCCTCCATAAAAATAAAATATATTCAATGTAATATCAGGCATAAGTACGTTATATAAAAAAAAAGATTTTAAATAAGCTTAAAATTCAACGCAAGACACAACCGTCTGGTGTCGGTATTGTGTTTAGTTAATTAGGTGACCAATATAAAAATCAAGTATTTGAAACACTAACTTTGTAGCCTGTTTTCTATTTCTTGGACATTAAGGTTTTTGATCATTCCGTAATTTTGAGGCGATTTACACGCTCGAACATATAAAAACGTTGACCTTATCCAATTCATTGCAACAGTTACATTGTAGATTGTACCCAAAAATATCTCTGCATTCAAGTGTTCAATCAAGTATTTATGAAGATGACTCTCTACAAATTGGTTTCCGATCAATATTTCTTCGTAACGACTCTATATAATAAATAAATGTATTAAAATTAAATACTGGGTAAAAATAGCCAAAATGTGATAAAAACTTTATAAAATATAAATATATACTTATAAGGAAACATTTTTTTTAAAGAACTAGTTTATTTACTAATTTTTACAAAAATAATAGATACATGTTTAATTCAACAACAGACTTAATCTATTTGTACCATAATTACTACGGCTTAATATCAATATCTCAAACCTTTAATAACTCTCGTATACAGATATTTTTTTCGTCCTGTAATTTGGACCTATATAGTATAGTATAGTATAGTATACTGCAGTATATAATTATGTGGCCTGACCACACAAACATCATCCGAACGATTTATGTTTTTCGATCTATCCGTCTCAGTGTCTCATCTTTTAAGTTCCCTGGAGCATAACTAATAAATTACTTAACTGTGACTTACAACTTACAACAATTAGAGAAACTTTTAACCGATTCTCTTATACAAAAATCCACGACAAACTATACACAATTACATAAGCAAAGTATCAAACAGTGGTCTACACACCTCAAGGCTCGTGTCTAATAAATCACTTCCAGACATTTAACAAAGCCTACTGACCCAAAGATCTTCACTGTGTGCATATGATTGAAATTGAATGAAAGTCAAATTTTCAAGTGGCTGTATAATAGCTCAGAGAGATTTATTTCAAACCGTAATTTTAAAACTACAAAATGTTAACGTCAAAATATATAGCCTCTGCACGTTTGATATAGATTGTACATTTTTTAAGATTAACGTATTCCTAAAAATAATGATTGTCAATAGAGATTATTCACATAAATTTACTTAAGTTTTCGATATGTAATAATTAATAAGTCATAATAAATACCATATCGTAATTACTAGGTACTAGTTATAAGCAATTAATTTCACTATAAAAATATGCATAGATACTTATATAGAAAACAATATTTTACCTAGCAGTATCAAATGATTGAAACATGTTACATTACAGCATACATAGATAGTAAAACATAAAACATATATGTTGTTTTTCTTGTACTAAAACATTTTAATGGCACGTTTTATTCGTATTGCGTTTATGATCTCTGGTCCGTTTCGAAATAATTTACTATAATATGTAGGTACATAATGTCAATTGATTAATCATTTTTGACCCCTATCAATTTTAATTCAAAACGTGCTGAACGTTCAACAAAATAAATTATTCTTAATTCTCTATGTAATGCCAATAAAGTAAATACATGTGACATGTAGATATGTAAATATAATACCACTGATGATCCAATGTTTTTACTATGAGTAACTGAGTAGATAAAAGAAGAATGAATTATCGGTAATTAATAATATGATAATGAATATTTCGATTTGCGGGTCCATTAATTGTTAAAATTTAAATGCATGCCCTCTACATTTACATGTAAAATTCTGTCTTCAGCTCATGTATAATGACTCACAAAACACTGATCATGAAATTTTTTACTGTACTTTTACTTAATCATATAATATATCACTGTTAGAATTTTACTACAATTCGTTATTTATTTTTATTTTTTCGTAAGGTCATGTTTGTCTATACGAATAAATAAATAAATCTATAAGGTTATTATGTAATATATTCTAACATAAAGGACATCTGATGATTTTATGTATTTATTTTTTCTAATTTCTTATATATTTACGCAATTTTTTTGAGTAACACATACAATCTTGTCTTGTTTTTCTAACGATTAAATCTCAATAACTATTGATGGCTTGTATTTATAGATTTCAGCATTATAATACCATGGATTTTAATCAAAAGTATTTAGGTAAATACATTACTTCAAATGATATTTACAAGTATTAAGTAATCGATTTTTGCTATACCTTTAAGGCTTTAACATTATCAATTTATTCGATTGTCTATTTAAGACTTTACAGTATATTACTCATACGAACGATAAACAAACATACTTTTAACATACCATAAATTATTTATTAAACAATATTTATAATACCATTTTTAAATTTGAAAATATCACAAACGTTTTTTAGAACGTTCAATCACTAAACATTTTTAATTAAATTTTTCTTTTTCAAGAACGATTATTACGTTTATCATGCGAACCTACGTGTGTGTAGAACACATAATATGTATAATGGGACTACACGTGGAAACTTTACAATGAAACACTCATAACACTCGCTTACATGACATAAGTATGGATTATAGACTAGTTTTTATTTTTGTATTATTGTTATTTTTATAAAGCGCATTGTTGACAGATAGGTGTGTATGATCAATCTACTTTCACAGTAATTCTAAGAAAGGTTTTGCCATTCACAAAGGTCACACAATAACCTCTGTGGGATATTATGAACATGTACCTACTTGGAATACCTAGTTCTAACTGATATGGTAAATACTATATAGTATACACCTATTTATGTATAATAAGTATTAACATTTTTATAGAATTCTTATGGAAAAAAAATAATCAAAATAAATAGAGCTACAAGTTTGGGTGTTCGATAAAAATGTTTTCAAAGCGTATACAACTATTATTGTCCTGAAATGGGGTTTTGAACCTAGACACCTAGTATTATGCTTAAGCCGAATTCACAGCTACGTCCGCGTCGTTTATTGAGCCGTGTACCTCTAATCGATTCTGATTGGCTGTTATTGTAATCATGGTATCAGTCAATAACCATGATCTACAGGGAAATTTCCAGAGTTGAAACCTCGAATTTTAAATTTTTGACATTTCACATCAGACGACGTAGCCGTGAACCCGACATTATTCGTAGAATTTATCCATGAATAATAGAAAATTATATAAAACCATGTTTTAAAATCATAACTGTTTTTTATGCAAGTATACCTATAAAACAAACCGGGTAGATCGACCAGACAAATCTGCAAAGTCTTGTTTTCGTAACTATAAGATAACACGTAATTTTTCTCTATTGTCATACTATAATAACTGTCCATTATATAAGCAAAGATCGTGTTCGAATTTAATTGAAACCCTCAAAATGAATATGTTACTAGAAAACAATGGTGATCCAGCTTTATGTAGTTGCCTCCTTATAAACATATAATAATTCACATATCTCAAGTAAACCGAGTATAACCAATTCACAGTTATTTTTTATCTTTCGGCTTCATCGCAATACCAATGCCCCGGAGTCCAGACTTATTTTCTTGGACCATTTCCTAATGCGGCGGAATCTATACAACATATAATATGAGACCAATAGCTTACAAATGTAATATGTAATATAGCCAGTGATTACATATTGTTTGCACAGTATATTATAGAGTAGACAATGGAACGTTTTTCGTCCTTTTTATCCTACTACTAGATACAAGTTACCGATCACAAAAGAGTAGAAAATAATGAATGAATCAGCAAACGTTCCATGTAGGTATGTTTAAATTGTTGAATGTACGTGATCCCGTCTCTTATTGCATGTATAAATTGCTACAATATTTACACAATAAAGTGTAATTTAAAATAATTACATACACCTATGAATACGTGTAATGTATTTAAATACATTAAATATTGATATACAACAATGTTTTGTCATTAAAGAAAAAATCGTAAACCATACTATAATATATGTTATAAATTATAATAGTTATTAGTTAACACTATTACCTATAGGTCTATAATGCACTGTTGAGAACTTTCCAATAATATGACTGGGATTAAACAGTAAATACATGCAATCTATATTAGATATAAAATAAATTGAATTTTTTTTAATTCCGGATATTATTCTAAAATAATAGATATTTTAAATATAAGAAAATAAAACTGGCAGGGATTGCATAAGAAATGTATACGCCGTAATTCTTCTCCAGTTTTGTCACACAATATAAGAGTATAAAAGACCCTACAGTAGTATAGAATCTACATATAAAGTAGATCGCATACAGAGACACAGAGTGATTTGTATACTTTGATTTTACAGAGATACAAGATAAATACAAAATATATTCTATAGAATATTAATATATTATTCCATAGTAAACTCACTATTTTACATTCTTAAACCTCTTATGCTGTTACAACTATCAGACAAACTATTCAATTATACAGTTTTTATTTCAGCATACCTACAACAAAACGTAAATAATAAGAGATTGGTTGGACTATCTATCAACGCTAAAAACTTAAACATAAGCTCTATAAGGGCACACTCCAAAAACTGAACGTCCACAGTTTAATATCATTATAATTTATAACAATATTCCAGCACTTCAAATTCATCAAGTTAATGCCGTGGCGTAATACAATTTAAGAGAGTGTTAGACGTTTGTGTACAAGTGTTATTTGTTGTTTTATTATGAGTTATGACATCTTTAAAAGATCAGGCTAAGGAATAATAAAGTTGAACTTTGCTTTTATAATGCATGATAATTCAAAATGTATATAGCTCCCGGTTATTTTATTATGTTTATTACATAAATCATTCCTTTACAGTAATTACTCATTTTTTTGACAATATGTCGACCATAATATTTTCACACGTGAAAGCTTTGAGACAAGTTCTTACTTCTTAGTATAAACTATAGGGGCGTTTAAGTTTATTTATTGTTTCATAAATGAATTCAAACTTATAAGCTTAAACGATCAATTTTATACTTTTATTGCTTTTATATAATAACTAAACCAATTACTATAAATGACTAAGTCTGCCAAGTCCAATACATTTTTACCAAAATGTATGAATATTAACAAAAATATTGATTTAATCTTTGTAAAAAAATAAACTCAAAGTCAAATATTATTTCTGTTTGAATAAAATCGTATTAGTTTGTTTAAGCTTTAATACTTGGGTGTTAAAAACGTAAAACGTTTAATTTTAAAATACTAGATTTCTGCTGCTTGTAAGAAAATATTAACTTCAAAATTATAAGGTTGTGGTGGAATTTAAAAATTATATTCACTTAAATATTTCCGGACAGACAGTTTTTTGTCAAGAAGGCTACCTATTTTGTTAGTGTATTTAAAAAGAACGGCGAGCCTATGTAATTATTACTTAGGAGCTTGTTTGCAATGTTGGTTGCGCGTTGAGTTCAAAGGTTAACATTGCGTGTGGATTCGACAATGCGAAGAAAGCATAACGTAATATCCAACGCTAAAGAGCAATCACTCATTCATTCTTAGTGTATGGACACAGATAATGGATTACGTTAATTGCACATTAAATAAGATTTGGACTGAATAAAGTAAATAGTAAATACAGACTATACAATAATGAATTTGACCCATACAGTCAGCTTTTACAAATATACGTGTATCAAAGAAATATTTAAGTACCTAGGTAGTAAATAATATAGGTTCATATAAACAATGTCAAATGTTTTTAAAAAGAAAAATGTTAGGCTTCCGTTTTTGAAGCGTTTAAAAGTAAATTCATATTAGATTCATATTATATACTGTAATGTACTACAAAATCAATGAAATGCAAAACTCGGGATCGGTTATTAAGTAGTTTATACTTTATGTCTATATGTATTGAAGATACATCTTACAGGGATAACGAGGGCACAATCAAGGTATCCGATAATTTTGATTGCTGAATAATTTCTTATTACCTAATTTAACTAATATAAATTCTAGTGTATTTTAAATATTTAAATATTGTAATTCTATTAGTAGAGTAAATACCTACCGGGTAGGCAAGGTGGGCAATTGATGAGGGCCCTAGCCTATTCAACAAAACCTTATTATTTTGATATTTTGAAATAAATTTTAACATAAAATACTAAAATAGTGAAGAGTTATGTTTTATTTATTTTAAACATCTAAGGGGCCCCAGAAGATTTTATGCCACGGGCCCCTAAAATCCTAGTTCCACCAATGAGTCTATAAATATCTTAATAATTTATAAAACTACTAAAATAAAAACTCTGTTTACAATTTTAAAATGAAATACATATATTTTGTAAACTGCAGGTAAATCTTCATTTTCAAGATGACTGAGTGTGGCTAAAAACACCACTAATTAAAATATTTTCTTGGCTCTAAAACGTTTGTGTAGACGAGGGATAAAAATTTAAATAAAAAAAATTAACAATTTAAAGTACTAAATAAACCTAATATGGCCTAAAATTATTTTTATGAGGTCTAAAAACATGCTTTGTAAAACTTTTGGTTTTTTTAGATCTAGAAAAAAATCTCAAATGACAAACTTCAAACTTTTTAAAAATAAAATCAGGAATATTGTATTAAATTTGTATTTTAATGAGTAATGTTTTTTATTTATATTTATTATTAATTGATATAAATTTTAATGAGTAATTTTTTTTATTTATATTTATTATTAATTGATATAATAAAAACAATACTTCATACAAAGCGAGTTAAAATGCACTGTTATTTAAAAATAATGTTTCATTTCCAAGTACATAAAACATTAATATATTGGAGTAAATGTTTTAACATTTTTTTTACTTGCAACCGTACTTTCCTTTCAAGGCGGAGCAACATTTTACTATAAACTCTAGGGGGGGAATAAAAAGGGAGAGGTTTATATTTAAAGGAGACCCAAGTCGGTATGAAATCAATTACAAAAATTTGATATCGCTGTAAACATATAGGCTGTACCTACTGTAAAAGTTTAAATTTTTTTACCTATAGTGTTGTAAGATATTACGTTTTTATTTTAATTTTAAAATATTTAAAAGTGCAGTATATATAATTATATAAACGAAAATACATAAATATGATGTTTGTAAAAGAAGGATTATTCTGTTTCGTTTTATTTGCATCGATATTGCTGATCCAAGGTCGTCCTCAAGGGGACTCCATGACTAAAACTTCAGAAAAACCAGAACCAGTAAGTACTAAATAGATTAATTTTAATTCAACCACTTAACATTTCATATTCAAAATACTCACAACTATAGTAAACAACATTAATGTAACAAAAAATATAAAATACAATTCAAACTAATATTATTCTAATTTAATTATTTTTCATTCAAATATTCATAGAAATTAAAGAAATATTAAATAATTTAATACTTTGTTTTTAGTTTTAACATTGTATCCAACAACAATTTCATACTTATTATGGGATATCTTTATAAGGTTTTTAAGAAAACAATAAAGTTCACAAATGGTTGTTTAAATATATAGAAACTATGAGATAGAATATCAATAAACCACTGTCGAAAATGTTTTAAATTTAAAAGCAATGATAAATCTTTACATTTTAAAAATAATCCAGAGTGAAGCTAGGGTTATCCACCAAAGTAAATGAAGATTTTTTAAACAGCAAAATTATCTGCCTGAAATTAATCAGTCCAATAAAGAAACCAAACACAGATTAAAAACTTCTTAAGTACTGTTTACAAATGTTTAAACTATTCTACTGTATCTATTTTATTAAAAGATATACATACATTCTCAGGAGCTTAAATATATTATATATACGTTTTAATATTTAGATTAGTTTCAAACAATAATTTCGTTTAGCTTTATATATTATCAATTAGTCTTAGAACATCTAAAATAATATAATTTAAATATATATGTATATTTATTTTTTATGAAGTAGGTATAGTATAATTTAAATTGCGTTGAATTTTGTATACATATATACATTTTTGTTTTATTATAATTTTTAATAATAGGTTATTATAATTGACTTAACAATGAATACATTAAAACACATGATATAACAAATAGCAATAATATTATTTCGTACCTCATTACATTTTTTTATGTCTCCTAATCTCATTAAGTCATAACAATAGACATCCGCAATTAATTAATGAATTAATTATTATGGACATGTATTATTTTACAATACATAAATGGTAGGTAGTTACATTTTAAAATAGGCAAGAACATTTTATTTTAGTAATAATTATACATATTAAATAAAAGGCTACATTTTAATATTTAATCAATATTTTATATGTACCTGATATAAAATATTAGTGAAAGTTTAAAACTTTTTTTATAAGTAAATTAAAACGCCCCGCAACATATTTGGAATGCATTATTATTATTTTAAAATACAATTAAGACTTTTCAACATAAAATCCCATTTTGACACATAGGTTCATAGGTAGGTACTTTGACTTGTCTAAATAAAATATAAGTACTATTGTAGTATTGTACCTACAACCGTTACACGCTAACACTAATTATACTAATTATAAATACTTTATAATACCTATTTATTCATCTGACTATAGTTAAGTATTTAGTCCCTTAGTCCTTACCTTATAAATATATAGATACATTATTCGGGGAAGATAAATATCTAAGTGCTCATTATTTTCTCTTTTATAGTAAATTGAGTATTTCTACTAGTGTGCAATAAAAACTACTTATTAAACATATTCAACTCCAATATATAACATCTTACTTTTGTTTTTATATAATATTGGATTCACAAATAAAACTTTAAATTTACCTAACACGAAAATCTATGGATAATACTATTTATCTTAAATACATTGTATTTTAGAAAAAATAGGCTCTATGGTGTATATGATGTTACTTGGGGGGGGAAGAGAAATCTCACGCAATTCTATTCCACCATACATAAGTTATCATGCCAATACCACACTTAAAAAAATAAAAAAATAAAAAAGCTTACTTAATATTTTTAAAAATATTAGAAGTACGAAAACGTATTTTCATTGTGAATTGTGATAGATGAAAGTATAGAAAAAAAGTTTTGAGTAACAACCTTAAGAATAATGACCTAATATTTTGATCTCCCCCAATTTTTCTTATATTTACAAATATTTAATTATTTCAAGTACGAATACCAATACAAAGTGGAAGATAAACCAAGTGGAAATTACTACGGACAAAACGAAGTTGGCAAAGATACGGGTCGCATAGAAGGATCGTACTTTGTATATCTTCCGGATGGTAGACTCATGACAGTCACATACTACGTTGATGGAGAAAGTGGTTTTGTACCAAAAATCACCTTCCAAGATAATGCTAGTCCTTTTGGCAATACTGAATCAAATTCTATTCAGAGAAGATAGAACAGTTTAATGAGTAATTTGTATTGTCTTGTTTAAATATTTTCCAGAATTAAAAAAATCATGCAAACTATGAACATATATCATCGGCACAACTATATAATTACCCATAGTACTGTATTAGATACTAAAGTATCTTAGTACCTTTTATACGTAAATATAACGTAATTGAAAAAAAATATTATTGTTATATTTGTTTGTATTTAATAAACTTCAAAATTTATCTTAAAATTACTGACCCCTCATTATTGTACACAATTTAGAGAATGTATCCACCATGTATACACACTACACATTTTATTTACATAACAATGTATGTTACGTAGGTACCAGGTATATAGGCAGATATTTTAAGTACTTTTGAATATTTTTTAATTAATGGGTATATACTATTATATACTATGCTGTTTTAAATTGTTAAATTTGTTTTTCTATTGTTAATTTTAAAGCATACTATTTTGTATAACTGTATAAAATGAATAAATGCTTATAATAGCCGTAATATGTAATATAAAGATGTTTGAGTTGTTTCACTGTTTTTGCATGTACAACCTTAATAAATTACAAATAATTGTTTGACAATTTATGTTTACAACCATTCTTTAAAATTTAAATGGATTTTATATCTTGAATTTTTATTAAGAATGAACTATGAATATCTAATGACAGACTCTCAGTTTATGCCTTCATTGCCAAGTAAATATTTATTTTTATTTTTTATAATTTACGCTAGACAGAAATGTCAACAAGGTGCTTTTAAAAATCACAAACTAAATTTAGAAATAATACTGTAGAGTAACAGATAGATTTAGAAATTAAAATTTAAAACAAAGAATAAGATTCTCGGAACAAAATTAAAATTTAATATATACCTACATTATCTGCCAGAAGCAGCATTCTATGAAAGGAATTATTATGTCCATGCTATTATTAGGTTGTATTCTAGAGTTATAGGAAAAGATAAGAACTGTAAGAGATCTAGAAAAAGGATCATCCATTGAATCATTAAGGAGGGAAATAAATAAAGTTGGAATAGGCGCCAAGGCACCGAGAAAAAAAGTAAACATTTTAAGGGCATTGCAAATAAGGGAATAATTTGTGAGGAAGATTAATCTTAAGAATGGAGGAAGCTTAGGACAACAATTTATTTTGAACACGCTCTAATATTAATCAGTCTTTCACAAAATATGATTACGTTACCAAACGTACTTTAATATGGATCACGCCAAGACAAAATAGTGGATGCGAAGGCGGCTATAGCAGAGGTATAAGTTTCATAAAATATAATAATTATATTTAATATTATATATTATATATAAGCCATACGATGATGGTGATCCATTTGTGTCTTGTCGACTATAAATTACTCATTATTACAAAAAGTTTTAACTTTTTGAAACATTTCTTTATCGACTTAAATTAAAAGTAATAAGGTACTTGTCAAATTATGTTACACTTTAAGTAATTTCAATAATAACAATCTATACACTGCACTATTTAAGAAGAGTACTCACTTATAAATTATTGTATCATACCTTCATTGATGCTTTCGTCATAATGATAACAGTAGCAGTACTATCAAATTGAGGTCTTCCAGCTCTTCCAACCATTTGTAATATTTGACATTCGTTGTATTCTTTATAGCCATTAAACGAATAATATTCAGTAGATTTTATAATAACTAAATGTGCTGGTAAATTAACTCCCATTGCTAAAGTAAATTATAATAAATTCAATATTAATTTATAAGATTTCTAAAATTATTCGTTGGCTAGTTTATGAGTATCAATATACCTAAAGTACTAGTAGCGATAAGTATGTTTAAGCATCTATTACGAAACAAATTTTCTACAACTCTTCTTTCATTAATAGACATGCCAGCGTGATGAAAACCAATGCCGAATCTAAACATTTCTACAAAATATATACAGTCTAGGTAAACAATAATACTTTATATTATACACATTATAATTTTTAATATTTATTATTATTTAGTATTCTATACAGGTTTACTAAAACTGTATTATTTCTTTTAAGTCTAATGGTTAAAATTCCAATAAACATTTTTTTTTTGAAGTAACATTAATCACAATAATTGATATTCCGTATTCGTAATATATAACTAAAATCTATACATACTAGTAGTTTAATATTTATATAACATGTAAAATGTATTTTAATTATTAATTTATAATCCAAACTCCCAATGTATAAAATACTAAAGTATTAGTAAAAATATCAAAAAGATACCTAAAGGAAAAAAGAAGATACACATTCAATGAATTTTAATTATTTTTTTTATTTTAAAAACAAGGTTTAAGAAATACTGCAAATGCAAATTTATAAACCATAATAATTTTAGTATACCTTTAATTTTATTGTTATTAATTTCTTTCGAAAATTCGTTGATATAACTTTGTTTGTCGTCAGGTATTGCAATTGTTGTGTCTTTCACTAAAATACTACAAGTAAACTCTACGCTTTTCCTTGTAGAACAAAATATCTATGATTTATTTTTAATGTTAGAATTTAACCTAAAAATAAAGTTTATATATTGGATTTATATGGTAAGTATTTCCTTACTAAAGTTGGCCGCCCATTTGAATACTGTCTTATTAAAGGTTTAAGTTTATAGGTTAGATCAAAGTCAAATTTGAAACTACTTGTCTTATAGTTATAACCTAATACAATTTTTTGTAATTTCACAGGTCTTTCGTCTTCCGTACTTCTGTGAAATATTGAGTATTATAAAATAATAAAAATATAATAAAATAATTCGCATTTAAAAATGTTTATAAAATGTGATTGTATCATATAAAGTATGTATACTTCAAGTAATGGGCGGGATAATTTTGATCATTAGATAACCATTTTGCAATATCTTCAATATTTGTCACTGTAGCAGATACAGCCACAAAACGTAATGTAAAATCATTTATTTTTGTCTGTTGAAAAAAACAAAATAAAATTACTATTTTGTTTATTTCTACGTATGTTTTTATATAATATAAATGTATTTACAACTTTTGGAATTAGTTTTATGCGACTGACAATAGTTTCTAATGTTGCACCACGAGTCCCATCGTTTATTAAATGAACCTTTGAAATGCATGAAGTTTAATTAAGAATTTAATAATATAATTCGATAATGACCTACCTCGTCGATCAAGAAAAGTTTGACCATGTACAATTGATACTTAAATTCTTTACATTTTTTCGTCAATGAATCCCATTTTTCCGGAGTAGTTATTATTAACTGATGATTATTTATTAAAGATACATAATCTGCAACTTCCGAATCTCCAGTTATTTCAATACATTTAAGTCCATGAACTGTAAATTTATTTTTCCAATCTTCATAACGTTCGGAACACAATGCTTTTATTGGAGCCACTAATCACAAATAAGTAATAATCAACTTTGTTATATTTAAATAGTTATGTTATAACCACATAAACATATAAATACATGCAAATATATAATATGTAGAGTTTGAATACATATCTATTTTATATATTATAATTTACAATATATAGGTAAACTAAACGTATACAAAATAAAAAACATAATAAATAAATACATAAATTTACCGTAAATTATTTTAAAGTTTTGTAAATTATAAGAAAACTTGTCGAGCGTTTCTAAAAAACGTATTATAGCTAATTCAAAAATAACTGTTTTTCCGGATCCAGTTGGTGAAGACACAACGACTGACTTATCTTGAATATAAACACAATTATAATTGATAAATATTAGTCGTATTATGTTTCATACATTTCACTTTGTATTAATTATTGAGCAGGATTTATACCTACCTTTGTAAATCATATAAATCATTTACATATTTATTGTTAAAATAGGAAATTACAATCAAGTTGCTCTAACCACTTTTGATTACACATCTAACATAGAAAATTAATGTACCCGCACTACCAAGCGTTATTTCCCAACGTGAGACACTCTTCAAATTCCAAAATAATTGCTCCGAGACTTATATTCTTAGAATCTTAGGTACCTACAGCTTTACTTATGAACCAAATCTCAAAATAGCATGGTACGGTTGACTTAGTTATGGATTGCTTACACACGCACACACACGCAACTTGCCTTTATTATTAATACATAATATTATGTATGGAAAAAATTATACTCATATCAGCAACATTTTTTAAAATTTAGAATATAAACTTCAACCATACACTTTGAATCTAATATAATATAATAGCAGTTAGGTACTCACACAAAAATTTTACATTTATATAGAATAGCTTTATTAGCCTTAATTACGAAACATACTATACAGAAAATTATATCCAATAGTAAGCGTACATCAAATCGTACATCCTCCTGGAGCACATGCAGTTACAGTATTTGCTTACTTGTCTGAGCGCCACTGTATAGTTAGATACCTTACAACTAAAATAATAGTAGGAACATACCAGTGTTGAAAATAGCGTCGATTGCTTTTGTTTGTATTTTATTGAAGTACGTATAATTTGAAAATATATGTCTATATTTTTCTGCTAAAAATGATCAACCAAAAATAATTATTTTCATTTTCATTTAATAAAATTGAATTGATTATTAAATTTACATGTTTGAATTTTTATAAAAAAAAACGTTTCAACAAATATCTCCTCATACTCAACTCTTGGACTATTCTTAAACTAGTTTAAACTAAATATCAATTTCTAAATTAATATTGCTGACGACTCACGCAATTTATTTACTGGATACAATTGGTTATCACAAGTTGATGAATTCATATCTTCATTTGCATTACCTTTAAAATGTTATAAGTATTTAAATTTAAATGAAACATTTATTTATTTAATATTATAATAATATAGATACGTGCAGGCTACAATTTACAAATAAACCATTTACAAAAACAAATATGCAATCCCTGCGCCATCCAGTATTCAAGTATTCAATAGGAATACTATTATGTGTAGGTACTAGGTACTGTAGTTCTGTACATACTATACGTATGTACCTATTACCTATATGATTAAGACTTGAGACCTAAAGGTACACAGTAACTCAATAAGTTATAACTTATAATATAGGTTCAATAGATTCAATCAGATATTTGTAAAATCAAATAATAATATTTAACAGTGCAAAACAATATTTCAACTGTATATCATACTCTATTCAGAATTAAAAAGGTACCTGGGAACCTGGCGACAACCAGTTTTTTTCACAAATGCTTCTACCATCAACGCTAGCGAGCGAAGCGATCCACGCCCATGCGAGCAAGTCGGCTGCCCAGTACCTCTCTTTTTCTGAATAGAGTATAAACTATAAAGGTAAGTGAGTTACTGTGTAATATATTGTTTTATTTTTTTTTTTTTTTTTTTTGGGGGGGGGGGGTCCAACAATTTTTAATTAAAACATCTTATAGGTATTTAATATTTAGAATAGAAAATTGTTATTTATTTAATGTTATACTTAACGTCTTTGTATTAATATCTAAATTGTATTATCATATTATATCAAATTAAAATTTCAATATCTTTAGTTATCCTTTTTTTGGGTTCTAGGGGGTTGAGTCAAGTACCCCAGTACACTCCCCCCACCTCCGGTAAGTACGCCACTGAAGTTATACACTAATATATATAAGTATAACCTATAGTTAATACTTTGATAGGTTTAGGTACCCAACTATTTTATAATGTAACATTGTTATTTTGCATGTTTTCGTCTCATATTTTAGGGACTTATTTACAAAATAAACTCTATAGGGTCTTAACGCATTTTTACTAGTGTATTTTAGTTTTTTTATTTATCTAGTTGTTCACAACCCTGACATAGATACAAGTACACAAATATTATTTAACATTTACTGATTCACTAATAGTTTGTTTTTTTTACTAATACCTACGAAACGTTAAAATGGGTGCTATATTATACATTTATACCTAGGTATTTGTTCAAACTGTCCATTTAATATTTATCATAATGAGGTACCTACTGAATACTTACTATATGTATAATTATCTACATTAGATATCGGAATTTTTCCCAAATCAAAATTCCTGAACGGGAAATTTCATGAGTGGTGATTTTCCCTAATGGAATATTACCATAATAGTACTTTGACCGCAATATCCTTTCCCGAACTCTTTTACCGGAATGTTATATTTCCCGAATAAAAGGTAATATTGTTCGAATTGTAAACATTACTTTTTTAATCATACTTATTAGTATGATCGTATTGTAGAATATCTATATGTTCCTTTTACTGAAGAGGTGAAAATACTATATAGTGTAAATAATATTTCAAAATTAATTCATAATATGTTATGCAGAATATATACACTATCAATTACAGCCTACAGGTAAAAAATAAAAGTAAATCCTAAATAAATAAACATTAGTAATAAGAAATTTTAAGCATTTTATCAACTAATTTTCGTGTTTACCTACAGATGTCAGCTATTAATTTAAAATTAAAATACATTTTTCATTACATTTATATCGCTTTTCTCAGAACCCAAAAATGTACAAGGAAATTGGTTGTACTATAAGGGCTAAGCGTTCTCAAATTCCTTGTAATTCTTCCCAGTAGAAGTGGAGCCAAAATCCCCAGATCTCTACTATGGGTACTTATCAATATTTTTTTACTAAAAATATTAATTTATATTAAATAGTATTTGCATACAGAAAAAAATACATACAATTCGGGATCTAATCTACTATTTGTGAAAAATACCAAACTGGAAAGAGGACGGAAGCGATCAAAGCATTATTATCGAATTATCGATATTCGATAGCACTAAAAAATAAATTGTATTATTTTTAGGTTGTTGGATAGTAAGTACTCATAACAGTGCAGTAGTCAGGATTTTTTCGGCGGTGAGGAGGGAGTTGTGCGTTTAAGCCCTTGCTCAAAATCAGAAATTAAATCAAAATATTTTTATTTTCTGCAATTCAATTTGTAAAAAAAAATGAAAGAATTAAATTAGGAAGCAGTATGGTTTACTAAATAAATATACTATATTACTATACCCTGTAACCGCGAGCAGTTTAATATGTAAGTATATAGATAACTAATAATATAGGTAGTTACCTAAGTTGATTAAGTTTTAGTCTTATCTCGAGTGAGGAGCTATCTATTAATTCATTACTTCCGCTTAATAAAAATTACCAAAAAATGAAAAAATCATAATAATGTTGTCCTATATGATATTTACCATTATATTTTGAACAATATTCATTTGTACCAAATGTTGAAAAACAAATTCCATCGTTGTTATTATTATTGGAGTTCATGTTTGAACAATGTTATACAAACTTCATCAAAAACGTAATAAATGGCCTTTATATTTTTTTAAATAATAAAAGAAAAATATTTAGTTTATAGAATGTATTACCAGAAGTCCAGAACAGTAGAACACCAGATGCGAAAACTATCATAAATATATTTGTGAACTTGACTTTTTGGCGGTCAATATAAAAGTGAGGTTAGTTTCATAGTTTTACGTATCAAAAATAATAATAATTAGAAAATTTGAATTTTGGATTGGACCAATGACTTTGATTATGTAATTGTTATATTTTTACTTTAAACAGTACTATAGTATAATTCAAATAATTTCAATACACATAATTATTTATTTAATTACTTTCATATATTTCATAGGTTATGTTATAAAATGTATTTAGTTTGCCGCCAATTTAATTTTATCAATTTATCGACCGTTGTTATTTTATCTTCACTTTTTAGACTTCATATTTCAGGAGATCTGTCAAGCTGTTGTCTGTTCCGCAATCTTCAGTTAATCGTCACAAGTCAAAATTATAGAAATAGTAAATAATATATTATTTATTAATGAATTTTTAAACTAACAATTATTTTTCTTTAGCGTTTAGCTATTCAATTTAATACTTTAATGTTTTTCTTTAACTGATATTGCAATAAGACTTACAGCTATGTCTGAAACTAAAGAGTTAAATTATCCACGATATGCCCATGTAGAAGGGCACACTGACGTATGTTACTCGGAAGATGGACGGTAAGATTAACATGATTACACGAAGAATGTTATTGTACCTAATTAAATAAAATGTATAAGAACCTACACGAAGGTATAATTCTTTACTTTTAGAGGAATAGCTGAACAAAGTTACATTAAAACAACTTGTCAACTGATTTTTTACTATCATAAAAATAAAAATAATTTATATTAATTTGACAGATATTTGATTACTTGTGGTCAGGATGGAGACTTAAGAATATGGGATGGTATTGAAGATAGCGATCCTATTGAAAAATGTGTTGGCAGTGAAGCATTTGCCGTACATCAATCAGTAATATCAATTTAAAAACACTGTTTTCTTTACTTTCATCTAACATTTTTATGCAATTGTAAATCCAAATTATTTTAAGGGAGATGTGCTATATGTTGGCGATGATCATCATACACTTCAAGTCTACACATTTCCAAGTGCAGAATTAATAGATACATTAACTCGATTTACTGCTCCAGTTTGTTGTTTAGATTCATCTAAGGATGGCAAACTAATTGCTGCTGGTGGATGGTAATGTATATAATATAAAATAAAACAAGTAATAATAGATATATAAATATTTTTATTTCAGTGATTCATCTATTCAAGTTGTGAATAAAGAAACCAAAAATGTATTGAATTTTAATGGTCACAAAAGTCCAATTTTATCTATTAAATTTGATGCATTAGCTAAGTTTTTGGTAAAAAAATAAATAAAAAAATTTCCAATCATATACACTTTTAATTAATAATATCTTAAATGGCTGCAGGTGTCATCAAGTTGTGACGGAACTGTAAAAATATGGAGCATAGAAAACAAATCTGTTGTAAAAGAATGGACAAGTGTGATACCAGTAAGCAATGCATTTCAGCATTCCAAGATCAAATGTACACCTGCGTGGGATCCTATAAATGGAAACTTACTAGCTATACCTTTTGGTAAAGAAATAAAATTGTTCCAAAGTGGTTTATGGAGAGAACTTTACACATTACATGACTACCGATTATCAGAACAAGTAATTATATTCAAATACTTTTTTATTTTATAATTTTATTTGAATGAGGTTCAATTAAAAATAAAAATTATCAATTGCTATAGCCTGATATTCTTTCACAATGTGATGATTTAATGTTATTTTAGGAGATCACTGTTATGAGTTGGTCAAAATGTGGCAGATATATAGCTGCTGGAACAAATACAGGATTTATTTTGGTATGGAATGTATCATCTCAAGTAATTGTATTACATGCGGAGTGTAAGGAACGATATTCTATAAGAAGTTTAGTCTGGTGCCCTAAAAATGATGAACACACATTAGCCTATTGTGATGATCATGGTCAATTAGGTTTGGTTGAAAATGCTAGATCAGATGATTTTAGTATAGATACAGTAAGTTTAGGTAATATTTAATCTATTTTACTAGCAATTGATCATTTTATTAAATTATTATTAATATTTAATGGTATCAACATAAATGATCAATAGCTTATTTGTATTTTATGATTGAAATGAGTATTTACGTACCTAAGTGTCTTGTCATGATACAATCCTGTAAGTGGTGAACCCCATTATAAATTACTAAAAATTACCACTCAATTCTTCTTTTAGACTAATGACAAGGAAAACATATTAATGACAGATGAAGAGTCTATTGATAATGTTATATCATTAGAGCAAATAAAACACGATGTTGAAGTTGAACTTAATAAGCAAAGAGGTGTATCATTAAATGATGTTGACGGTTTAGAAATTGATGACGATAACAGCAATTTGTCTTCTAAATATATTCCTCCTACTGCTGGTTTCACTGTGGATCTACAAAGTCCATTTCAACCTTGTTCAACACCTGTTCATCTACAAAGGCGCTTCATGGTAATCATTTAATTGTATTTAACTTATTATAAATATTAAGTTATAAGTTAATTTTATTTATTTGCGTATTAACTTAAATACCTTATAAATGTTTAAGGTTTTCAACGATGTTGGTTATGCTCGTCAAACTAACACTGCTGATGAAAATGTTATTGATGTAGATTTTCATGATAACACTATCCATCATGCTTTTCGTATCAAAAATGTCTTAGGGCATACTATTGCTGCTATGTGTCAAGAAGCATTGGTTTTAGGTTGTGAAACTCAAGATAATACACCTAGGTATTTAAAAAAATTATGTACAATACTTACCTTAAATGAACATTAAATTAATAATGACAATTTAAACAGCAAATTGGTTTGTGTACTACTAAATTCATGGGATGGTAAACGTGAATGGACTGTTGATTTACCTGATGATGATGATATATGTGGATTAGCAGTTACTGCTGATTGGATTGCGGTAGCTTCAGTATCGCGTTTATTAAGATTATTCACTCTTGGTGGTGGCCAAAGAGAGATCATATCTATACCTGGACCTATAGTAGCTATACATGGATCCAGAGACCGTTTAGTTGTTGTGCATCATTGTGGGGCCCGTATGTTTCAACTTCTTTATAATACAGTAGTAAATATTTTATCAAATTGTTTTTTTATTTTTATTTAGCTATACCCGGTGAACAAAATTTGAGATACTGTGTGTACAGAATTGATAGCCGTGTTGAAGCCATTTGTTCCGGTTATGTGCCACTGTTTCCAAAATCAACCCTTAGATGGGTTGGTTTTTCTGATTATGGATCTTTGTGTATTCTAGATTCTGCGGGAACTTTACGAATGTTGATTAAATCCTATTGGAGTCCTTTATGTTATGTAGATAATACGGTAATATTTACATAAACAATACTAGGAAATAGTAATTTAGATATTCAATTTTTATAATCATTCAAAACTTTATAGTGGAATGACACAACAAATCATTATTTTGTCATTGGAGTCAGTGAAGCACGTCAAGATATACGTTGCATCCTTTGCAAAGGTTCTTATTATCCTTCAACAACACCTCATCCTTTTTTGAATGAAATACCCTGGCAGGTTATTATTTTCATTATTTGATTAATTAATGTAAATATTAACTTTGTTATCACTGTTTTAGATACCATTGTGTGATCTTAATCAAGAAAAAGGTGAATTAGAAGAAAAATTTTGGAGATCCAATATAGCTGTATCAATTTTACCGGAAGAAGATGGACTACAGTATGATAAAGAATTAAAAACTACATTTTTAAAATTGTTTGCTGTACGTATTAAATAAATGTACTTATAATGAATCATTTATACTAACAAAATTAATTAATTCAACTGTTATTGGATTATTTAGATGGCATGTAAGAGTGGTCACGATATGAGAGCATTAGAGTTATGTAAACTTATAAGATCTGAGCAATATTTAAATTTAGCCCTGAAATATGCTATGAGAGTTGGGAATAGTAGTTTAGCAACAAAAATTACAACTATTATAGAAAATGAAGCAAAAGTAGATGATGATCCAAAACCAGTAACATATTCAGAATTATTTGATGGTCCATCGACCTCATATAAGTAAGTTATACAATTTGGTCATTATTTTTAAATAAATGTGGAGCTCTAAAATTCTGTTTTCTAATTTTTATGACTAAGTTCAAATATCAATATCAAATAATACCAATTATCTTAATGAATGTATAATTCCATAGAGTTAGTTAAATGATTAAGATTCTGCACAAATTGATAAATAAATAAATTTCTATTTATTTTAATAAAACTATTTAAATAGTAAGATTGATTTTTATCTTTATAATTTTATAAATATGTTTATGTACAAGGTTAATATGCAATAAAAACTGTACAAGGTGATACACCAAGCATGCTCAACTCCTTTTTTTCTTCAATGATGCAGTTATTCATATTCTTGAGATTTTTTATACTACTTAAAGAATGTTCTGTTGACAAATGTGTGCTATTTTTCAAATGAAAATCCCCACTTTTCTATTTTAAGTTATTTAGTGGATCATTTTTTAGAAAATGTTGACATATTAAGATCAAAATTTGAACAATTAGTTTTTGAATTTTTGAATTTAGTGTATTAATTATAATAGGTCCATGTTAATGAGTTAAGGATATTTGGGGTCTATAATGATGGGATCATACATTTTAGTCATTAATATTAATCTATCAAAATGTATGATTTATTAAAATGGTCATACTTATATTAAACACTTAATCTAACAATAGTATTATAAAAATAAAATATCAAGTGTGTTTAACCCTTCACTGCTTCAGAAGTACTATTACTTCTTCAACATTTATATCATTCACTACTCCAAGCTTAATATTATGTTCCAGTAATTTATAGTATTATCATTTGCCAGTAACCATTTAATTTTAGGAAACCCTGGCTCGCGTTATTTTAAACTTAAATAATTAGTTCATATAGGTGTCAAAATTAGGTTCCAGAGCATAAATAGTGTAGCAGTGAAAAGGTTAACTCAGAAACATAGCCCTGGTTTTTTTTTCGGTTGGGCTTTTAAATGCCAACCCTAAATAATACATTTTATATTTTTGTAGGACCATTTTTAGTTTCTATTATCCCAAACATAAACATTCGAATTAATGGAAAATTACTCGTTTGAATTTTGAATTAGGTAATCAAAATGTTCAATACAATTATCCACAAAATAATTTACAAGATAGAGGGGCTATCATTTGAAAATGGATAGTTGTATCGCCATAGAATAATCCTTATGAAATAGGTGTAACAAATCTTAGGAGTTTGAAAATATGGTCTTAAGTAGGTATTTTTAAAAATTCCAAAAATAAGATTTCTGATAAATTCATTATTAGAAGAAAAATAGTGGTGAGCATGCTTAGTTGTATATAATATATTTAACATAATTATAAAGTAATTAATTTAAAATTTATAGCAAGAATACAAACTCTACTTCACAACAATCGCAAGATTTATTTTCTGAAAAATACAGTCCAAATGATAGTGAAGACAATAATAGAGGTAAGGCTTTAATTTTATTTGTTATTTCAAATGAATTTATATACTATTAAGTATTAACCATATACATCTTTGTTTTAAAATCTGATGATTCATTTGTCAAATAATATTAACAGTATTGGTCTTACTCCACTCACCTCAGTTCAAGCATTGTAGTGTTTGGATATAAAATTCAAAAACTAAATTATTTTATTCCTAAAATTAATTCTGAACAAAGCTTTGTAAAACATTTAACAAAAATGTATATTTACTTTTACAGAAACTATTTAGACTATTACTACCCGTAATTTAATTAACTTAATGTATGGACATAAAGTGAAAGTTAAATATATTACTAAAACAAAAATCTTAACAATTAAATAATTGAATAAAATATTATTTGTTGGTAGTTTTAGAATCATCAAGTATTTTAGCAGTTATTAAAAAGAAACAAGAATCTGAACTGATGAATGAATCCAATGATATAGATCGAGCCTTTAATCCATTTAAAAAAAAGAGTGGCGGACAAGCTAATATTTCAATTGGTACTCTTTCGCCATTAGATCAAGTAAATTACTTTTTATTCTATACATTTATTTTAACATTAGGTTTGAACATATCTTATATTTTTTTAATTATAAATTGTTTTAGACAAATGAGCCCTTGAGTGACAATAAAAGAAAATCTGATTTAAATGACAGTTCCGGAGACATCAATTCAACAAACAAATCAAAAAAACCCAAAGGGGTTTCAAAGTTATCATCTTTTATTTTTAAGAAATAATTTCTACTTTTATTATTAATAATTTATTGTTTCTATCATTTTAACTTCTAAATATGTGATTGGTGTATATATTATGTCCTAAATAAATTTTAGTCAAATTGTATTTTATCAATTATGTTACTCACCAGGAAAAAAAAATTGAAATACATGTGTATAATGAATCTTTAAATCACTATTTTATAGTACCTTGACCCCTTGCACGTGTTATTTTGTTACCTTAGGAATAAACTTTAGTAGTGGTAGAAAATAATCAATAACTCATATCACCCCTTCTTTAGCTTTTAAATGTGCTATAAATTACATCTATTGCACTCCAAACTAGTAAACTTTACAATATGTAGTACTATTAAAACACTATGGACTTTAAAATAACTAAATACTCACCAAGATTTAAAGAAGAATTACCACCAATCAATAGGCCAACTCGTCCAACTAGTAGTAATATAATTAAGGTAAACACAGAAATAAATATTCATAAAAAAAATAATTATTTGTAATATGTATATTTATATTATTTTAGAACCTTAAAACTTCAATTGAACAAACAGAATTATTAAATAAAATTGATCCACTAATATTGGTTGCTCAGTATGAAAGAGATATCAATCGCATAAAAATTAATCACAACCAAATGTTAGAAGAACTTTATAAAGAAATAGAAATATTAAGGTCCAAAAATCGAGGTACTATGTAAATTACACTCATTGAATAATTTTTAAGTTTTATTTAAATTATTGTTTAGACCTTTTAGATGAATTGATTATAATGAATGGTGGAAACTATTGTTGCAAGCATTTAGAAAATTTGGGTTTTGAGATTTTAAAATCTAATGCAAGCGATAATCAAAAACAACTGAGTGATGTACTAAACAATGCTAAAATGCATCAAATATCTACAGAAGACATTAAAAATGATACAAATTACAAGTAAAATATCCTTTTTTATTTCCTATCGTCGGTGTTCTAAATTAATTTTTACTAGTGATGCTGAGTTCATTTAAAATTGGTGGCTTAAGTATTTAAATGCTTTTACACATTTTAAATTATTTTCTTAATTTTGATGTAGCATATAGAACAAATCCATTCCGCATTTATTTATTGACACACTTGTCACTTTGCCAACACTTATTGGCTACTTTAATTGGTTTAAACACACTGTGTAATTATAGTAGGTTGTAGGTAGCTAGCACCATTGTTTTTTTTCCATCAATTTATTGGATTATGGAAACCATAAGTTACTATTACAGTAACATTCAGTCAAAAATAAAAAACAACTTTGATCGCATATTCGTTAATACTTAAATAAATAATTAACTTATTATTTTAAATATTAACATTGAATATTTTGATTCAGTGGCATCATTTGGGGGTTGGAAAGGAGGGCATTTTCCCCTGTCTGATTTTAAAAGCAGCCCGATGGGTTGGTACCTGATTGCTTCTGTCTAACCATTATTATATTTTAATATAGCAAAAAAACATGCCTATTTTTATAATATTTTGAAAAAATATTATATCGTGTGCTAAGAAATTGTTGTCACAATAATAAGTTGGTAATTAATAGTTGGAATATATTTATATTTAGACGCATGCAATGAAATGCATGAAAGTGGTGTCTGTGTGTGTGAGTTGTATGGAGGAAATAGATTATAATGTTCAATTGCTGCACGAAGAACAATAATAATAATTAATATCATAACCCTATATAGTTTTATTTCTAAAATCTAAAATTCATTAAAATTTTACAAATAACCGATTGGCTCTATTATTTATCATTGATTTCAGACTTAAGATAACATTGTGATTGTCATATAGCGTGCTGTATTCTTTATTGTGTTAAGTTTAGATTAGTGTATAAAAATTAAATTTTTTGTCATGTTTCTAATAAATTTTTTGTTATGAACTAATGTCTTTAAAGTATAAATGGGCGGTGTGGCCATAAACAGATGTGCCAAGAAAATTAAGTTAGAGCACATCGTTCAAGACTCTCAAATAATGTCTAATGCAGTTTAAAAAAAAATAGACAAAACTTAAACCAGTTAGCAAGCAATAATAATAACATATTGTAAATTAAAATGTTATCAGTTTACAGGGTCTTAATCTGTATGTACAGTTATACAATTGTTTTTATAAAATACCTGGTACCTTGTATAATATTTCTTAGTTAATAAAAAAAGTTGAAACAGTTAGAGTAAAAAATATTAAACTTATAAGTAATTTGATCAAAATGTAAGTAAATGTGTGATTGCAATGGAAGTGAGCTGTTTTTTTTTTAAATTACCCATTTTGGCTGGTCAAAATTTCCTCCCCCCCCCCTCTATTGAAAACTGAAATGACGCCACTATTTTGAACATAAAATTATGTTTTATATCAATATTCAATATCAGATAATTGCATTTGTGATTTATACTGTGAATTGAATGACTATTAAGTATTTTAAATTAATATTAAATAACTTTTTCTAGCTATAAAAAAGAACTGCCTGAATTAATAGCTGTAGGGAATAAGTTCATAAGTAAAGATATTGAAAATAAATCAAATTTACTTTTGCAAGACCAATTATATGAAAGCAATAAATTGATTGATGTACTTAGACAAGAAAATATTCAACAAAAGGCGGAGGCAAGTTTTTATAAATATAAAATAGTATGATGTACAATGGTTTTATTTTGTAGTAATATAATATAAGTAGTTGGTTAAATAAAATAACTGAAACAAAAATAATTCTATCTAGTTACTTTAAAATATGCTGAAATATAAATGTATATGGACTAAAATATTATAAATTGATGTTAACATATAAATATATATTAAGTACCTAATAAATAGATTTTAACATTGTCAAGTTATTTAATTCTTACTTTTTGAACAGCTAAATTCATTAAATTCATTATTAAACAAAGGCTTGACAATTTCTGGTGTTGGATTGAATAATGGCCTGATCAGAACAAACTTGAATTCTGGTAAAAGATTTCTATCTTCGTTGTCTCATCCTACGATTTCTTACATGGATTTTATCAGTTCAGAGTAAATATAATTATTATTGATTAACAATTTAAAAAATAATGTATTATTGTAAGCTGGGCTGGGAACTTACAGCATTTACTGATTTTTATGGTTTGGCATAAAATCTAGCAGAGTGCTATGGAAGTGTATGTCATGTTACAAAACTTTCAGTTATGAAATTTGAAAGTGTTTTTTTTTCCTTCTCCAACTGTTTTTAAAAAAAATATTTATTTCCAGTTTTCCGATTATTTTTGTTTTTATGCATATTTCTGCTGATATATACATCCTTGCCTGGATATAGATAGCATCTAGATTGGCATCCACTGACAAAAACCTAGACATTTTGGTTAATTTCTGTTTTGTTGTTATTTTTGTTCACGATTAACATAGAACTAAAAATAATTTTTCAGCAATAAACACTGGAACTCACATTTGCTCTCTTATCTCCCACTTGACCAAAATAATACATTTTTTTCGGTTATTAGAAAATTGTTCAAAAAATATATGTGAAATTTAATAGAGAAGTTAAAATGTTTTCAAAAACTATAATATATTGAAATAGTATTCTTAGAAATAACTATTCGATAGTTTTTGTTTTTTTTAATATTTTAAAGTGCGCATTTGAGTGATCATAATGAAATATTTAAATGCTATTTTCAGCTCTTAGTTTGATGATTATAACTTACAAATGGTATACCTACGTCCCAAACCCCAATTATAAGACTTTATGAAGTTACTTGCTCAGTTTGCCTCAAAACATTAATTTAATAAATTATAATATTTTTTTTTTCTAATTTTCAGGGAAAATGTACAGTCAATCTCTAGAAATGAATAATTTGTACAATAATACATTGAGTTTGCATGAGTTTAACATGTATACTATTATGTACAAGTTACCTAGGTATTTAAGATTTGTGTACCTAATTATGGTTGCTGGAAATCATAATATTGGATCATTTCAAAAAAATATTTTTAATGATTACCTATATCTACTTTTAGAATATTATTAAATCATTACTATAATACCTACGTTTATGTTACCTGTCCAAGTATTTTTTAATTATGATAATTGATAAGTGTATATAGTACTATTATAGAATAATTTACTATTGTAGTGAATTATAGTGATAACTATTCTTTATATCAATTATTATTATTTTAATATTTATATTTAGCTATTCCCTGTGCCTAATAGTATTACTAAAATTGTATTATAATATCAGCTTTCAGGCAGCTAGGAGTGCTAGGACTATGTCTCAGACCCCCTTCGTTAGCTCTGTCAATAAATCGCTGAGATTGGATATCAATTTCGGAGACAGGGTCTTCGAGTTGTGTATAAGTCGCAAGTACGTTTATCAAAACCACAATTAAAGATACCTACATCGCGATTTGGCGGTCTCTTTTCGAAAGCGGGTATGTTTGAAAGTCGAGGTGACTGTGTGAGTGTCTAGAAATCTCTCATGGCCAGTGAAAATCGGTAATTGAACGGGCTTGATAGTTGATACAGTCGCCTCGGCACATTTTTGAACCTCGGAGAGCTGGATACGGTCCAGCCTTGTGCTTTTATGTAAGTCAAAAATAGTCATCACCGGTGTAAAACAATAGATACCAAACTGAGCCAACATGCTGCGGCGGATAGACATAGAAAAAAAAACTGAAAAAAAAAAAAAATTAAAATATTCGTGATTTTTACGTATTTTGTCAAGATTCGAATATTAAATGTTTTAAAAAAAAAATTGGAATTATGTATTTTTATATTTTTCAACCGTCATTGTAACAATATATAAGGAGTTTTGTATTAAATTTACAACATTTTTGACCCAACGAATAAAATTTTATCGACAAAAATTAAAAGAAACAAATAAAACTTTTTAGTTATTATCTTATATTCTTATGCCTGTAAATATTTTAAAAAGGGTCGCAATATTATGAAATGTTAAAGTGCATAGAACTTGCTAATATGAACATTCAGTGCAAATGCCATAATCATTAATATTTAATTACAAATTTATACTTTATACTAATAATATAATATTGTGTTTTATAATACCTACTGCGATAACCTAACCTAACCTAACCTATGAATAATTCTGTAAAATTAAACAACTAAAATAATTTTTTTTTAGTTAATTAATTTAGGTTATTTTCTATAACATTTTGATAATATTATAAACTATATAAGAATTAAGAACTTAAAATGTCACATAATGGTGTAGTTCTGTAGTGTGTACCTTATTATGTTTAAATATGTATTTAAGGTACCTTTGATAACGGATTTTTTTTTTTACTTTGAGTCCCTACATTTACTTTTGATAATTATTTTTATTTTATAATATTTTAAATCGTCGTTTCATTCAGAATCTAAAATAATAAAGGTAAGAGATGGCAACCGCAGTCTGCTATCCCAGATTCTTGAACAGAAAAACATTTTCACAACAATTAGGTTATTAATGAATGATTAATCGGTAAAAAAGATGGTCGTCTTTAAAAATGTAGGTAGGTATTTAAAAAAGTCAGTTATAAACTTATAATAATGAAAATATAATGATGGGATTTTAGTCATTTTGTTGTAAATTAAAAATAGTACTCATGGCTGTATGAAAATGTTAGTGTATACTATTATAATATTTTTTACACACAATGAAACTTTCAGATGTACCTAATTCTTTTATGAAAAATGAAGTTAACCTACCTACTGTAGTATTAATTTCTAATAGCAAAATAAATTACTTTAAACACTTTAACATCATCAAATATACTATATTTATAAGTTTTATAATTAATATTATAGACTGTCAGACCGTCTAAGCTCAGAAACATTTTTCGTATAGGTACAATGATTTTATATCATTGAATTCAAATTTAACACTATCCATTACAATTTACAGTGACCCACTTGTAACCTACTGTACAGCAGAGCACAACTTGTGATTATTTTTGTAAAAAATTTTTAATCTTTAACCAGCTATTTAGTGAAGCCCAGGACCTGTCGTAATCAAGAGCTCGTGGCCACAGAACATACCACGAAATAATATAATATATCCATGACATTATTAAGATATTATAATAGTATATTGGTCCAGTTGACACTGACTAGGTAGGTAGTATATGATCTAAATTCTAAGTTAGTCCGTGATTTATATTCTCGTTATAACATGTATCACATTTTAATCTTAATTATTATAATAACATAACACCTTAGATCATAAACCTACAAATATACATCGAGCAAGACCATATTAATTATTATGACGTATTAATGTATTATTATATTGTATTATTCTGTGAACATATGAATATATGATACAATGGATACCTATTATAAAAAAAATATTAAAATAACACGTGCTTATGATAACACTTATCATGCGATCCGGCTCGTAGAGTCGACCGCTAACTGCTCAGAGACTAGAGAGTAAAAATGTTTTCCTAATAAGTTTCCAAAAATGTACTTTTCTGGTACCTATTCTAAAATATTCTTTCTATATTTACAATAGTATAATTTGCTTTTATTGAGCACTAAATAATAAATATGTATATAGAATATTGTACGATGTCTATTAAATGTTGATAAATTCTATTACTTAAATTAAAGAACAGACAGCAGTTATCATGTATACTGTTACCAAATATCTATCTCGTTTTCATTCAGTTAAACGCTTTTATTCTGATGACACAACACGTTTAAAGAAATCTATATTCTTGCCAGTCACAAAATTTAAAAGTCGGTTGAATGCTGATCAAACTATTCAAAGAGATAGCCATATTTTTAAGGTAAATCTCAAATAATTGCTGTTGTAGTACTTACCTACGAAGTATAAAATTATCATTTTTTTAGACATGTGGATTTTCTGAACTGTATTCTTGGCAAAGGCAACATTTAAATAATGAAGAGTATATTTTACATGATGGACCACCTTATGCTAATGGCTCAGCACATATGGGCCATGCCATAAATAAAGTAGTAACTTTATAAACTGTATTTGATTTCTTGAATAATTTATTTATTGTTTTGTACAGATACTTAAGGATATTACTATACGTTCTAAACTTGTAAATGGACAAAAAGTTAATTATATACCGGGATGGGATTGTCATGGTTTACCCATTGAGTTGAAAGCTGAAAAGATTCACGGAAACAAATGGAAAAAATTTGGCCCATTAGAAGTACGGAAAAGTGGTGAGAAATTATGACTTTCAATAAAATTATGAAATTAAAAAAATATTTGGTTAATATTGAAATTTCAAAAAAATTAATATGAATGGATAAATATTTTTTAGCTAGAAAATATGCCGCAAAAGAAATAGAAAAACAGAAATGTGTTTTTAAGTCATGGGGTATACTTGCTGATTGGGAAAACAATTGTTATTTTACCTATGATAAAAAGTATGTCCAAAAACAAATTCAACAGTTCTTTGAACTATATAAAAAAGTAATTTTATATATGACATTTTCTTTAAAATTTTCAAAATACTAATTATCTATTATTTATAGGGACTAATTTATAGGGATCTCAAAACAGTTTACTGGTCACCTTCGTCCAAGTAATATTTTTTTCAATTTAACTCTTAGGCACTTAATAATACTAAACTTACCTTATAATTTTGTAGAAGTGCACTTGCTGAAGCAGAACTGGAATACAATCCTTATCACCAAAGTAAATCAGTCACTGTCAAACTTGAGCTTTGTCTATCTACTCTTTCAATCGATTTAAATAATCATAATAGTGAACCAATTTATGCACTTATTTGGACTACTACACCATGGACATTACCAGGAAATATTGCTGTTGTGTACTCGCCTAATTTATTATACTCTTTTGTAAAAATTCAAGATACCATCGGTATATATTTGTTAGCAACTGATTTAGTTGACAATTTAAGTACCAAAATAAAAAAAACAATCGAAATAATCACAACAGTAAAAAGTATGTCGCATAAATTAGTTATTAATTAATTTTCATATACATTTATAGAATAGCTTTATAGGTCAGTATCTCAGTGGTTTAAAATATAAGAGTTTAAGAAATGGTGAAAGTGATAAAACATTTTTGGAAGGTGACCATGTGACCACAGACAAAGGTACGGGATTAGTTCATACTGCACCGGCATATGGACATGAAGATTTTTTAATTGCATTAAAACATAAAGTACCCATTGTGAGAACCCAAAATTATTTCATAACTTAAATTTTATGAACATCTGAATAATTTGTAATTCATTTTTTTTAGGAATGCCATGTAGACGAGCATGGCATTTTTATGCCACAAACATGGTCAGAACTTGTAGGTTTACCCGTTTTAGACATTGGAAATGAAACTGTGTGTTCATTGTTGAGCGATAAAATATTGCACACAGAAATTTATGAACATAGTTATCCTTATGATTGGCGTACCAAATTGCCTGTGATTGTTCGTGCTAGTAAACAATGGTTCTTGGATACAGCAGCGATTAAGAGACAATCAATTGTAAATATTTATATTTATCTAATACAAATTACGAATAAAGTATTTTTTTAATTTTTAATTTAAACTACATATTTATTAACAAATATGCTTACGATTTGTATGTAATCCAATTTATTTTAATTATTTTTTATGAAATTTTCTCTGAAATAATTTAACAATGTCCCAAAGACCAAGATAGTATTCGTAGATTAAAATTATCTAAGCAATAAACATGGTTTAAGTTTAAAAACCACTAAAAATAAATATTTTAATAATTTATTAATTCAGGTAAATAAATGATTGAACTGATACTACTAAATACCATAGTAAACTGATCCTACAATAAATTAACTCATAAGAGTAATGTTTTTTTTTAACATTTCAAATTTGAAATCTAAAATTACTAGGTATTTATTTAAATTTTGTTTTTTTATTCATCTAGTCATTATTTTTAAAATAAAAATATCCTAAATACATGTGTATTAAGTTAACACTGCCTATTTTTTTTAGAATATATATGGTAATATATTACTAAATTTCAAAAATTTATTTTACATCTTTTCATAATGTAAGGAATGTTTGAAAGACATTAAAATTTATCCTGAACTTGGTGGAAGTCGTAATGCTCTTTTAACACTGATTGAAAAACGACCATATTGGTGTATATCCAGACAACGTTCGTGGGGTGTACCCATACCTGTATTATATGACGAATCAGATAATACAATAATAGATGAGTAAATACTTTAATTTCTATATTTTTAATGAAATTCTATACATTTTACTGTCTTTTGTCAGAAAATTGTTGGACCAATATTATGCACTGTTAGAAAAAACAGGGGAAGATTTTTGGTGGATTCATGATGTTCAGAAGTTGGTTTCAAACACATCGCACAGTCCAGAAAAATTAAAAAAAGGACTTGTATGTTCATATCTATTAATTATTTTAAATTTTATTTATATATTTTATTATTTTTACTTAACAGGATATTCTAGATATCTGGTTCGATAGTGGAATTTCGTGGAGCTGTGTATTAGGTGATAACAAAATTGCTGATTTATACATGGAAGGTGTGGATCAATGTACTGGTTGGTTTCAGGCATCTCTTATGTCATCAATTGCCCTTAGAAATGTTTCACCATTTAAGTAATTAAACATTCTGTATATACATTTTCATTTTTAAGCTGAATATTTAATATTTATTCAAACATGTTTTTTAGATCTTTGTTTGTACATGGTTTTGTTGTGGATAAAAATGGTAGAAAAATGTCTAAATCTATTGGGAATGTAATTGATCCTCAAGACATAGTAAATGGAAATTATGAAAAATCAATTAATGGAATTGACATACTCAGGTAGACTTGATAAAACCAAGAAATAAGTTCTTTACACAATATCTTTTTATACTTGTCTGTACAAAATTATTAGATGGTGGGTTGCTAAACATGGATCACATCAAACAAATATTCCAGTTACGAAAGAAACTATGGATGATAGCAAACAATCAGTAGATAAGCTTCGTCTTATTATACGTTTTTTACTTGGCTCACTTAATAATGTCAAAGATAATAATTTTATGCATGGTACTAATCACCTAAGATATTTAGATAAATATATGATGTTGGAACTCAAATCATTTGAAAATGAAACAAATAAACTATATAATACATTTCAGTATAATAAAGTATGTGCTAAACTATTACACTTTGTTACAAATCAAATTTCTGGATTATATGTACATCACATAAAAGATAGGTACAATAAAAAAAAAAAATACAAGTCTAAAATAAATTCAACTGTACTCATTAAACTACCTATTATTTAGGCTCTATTGTGATCCTATAGAATCAGGTGATCGACTTGCATGTACAGCGACATTACAAGCCATATTAGAAACTCTTCTCAAACATATAGCACCAATTTTACCTCATTTAGCAGAAGAAGCATTTTCCTACTACCCACTGAGAAGTATTTTCAAATCTTATTCAATGGTCATTTAGAAATATTAATTTTTTTAAATTCTAACTATTTTAGGAAACACAACATTTTTTAAAACGTCCATCACAAATCTTGATCAAATAGTCATTCCAGATTCAGAACAAGTAATATCAGTTATGGAAAATGCTTTAATGGTTAAAAATAAAGTATCAAATGTATTACAAGGAAAAAATTCACTTGAACAATCACTAGTTATTGCAGTACCTGATGAGACATTCAATTTATTAAAGGTAAAAATATATAAAAAAAACCTAAAATAATAATTATTGGAAATTGTATCAAAAATCATAATTGAAGAACTCACTCTGCTATATTGTACGTACTGAGTGTACCCCACCATGGTTCTATGTAATTAATTTATTAAATTTAAATGCAATCATAAATCATTACATATTATGTAAAACAATTCTGAGAGACTGACAGACATCTGTCTGGAGAGAGAGGCCGCCATTCCCCTACCAGGTATGGCAGAAACCTATTGGGCGCAATTAAAATTCTGCCAAACACAAAACACACACGTGTTAGAACCTACCATTCCTCCTCCTACAAACCTTGGTCATAAAAATGGCCATAATTGCCGAGCCTTAAGTTCAATTAAAAAAAAAAAAAAAAATTCTGAGTGGAGACCATCTATCATCCTATTTTTATTATATATTAAATGTTTATTGCTTTTATGTAATAATTTATTTGTATATAATAAATACAATAAATTAAACTAGCTTTGTCAAAAATATATTAAGAAGTAATTTATTGTTATAATATAATATCCTAAACAAAATATATAATTATTAACTTATAAGTCAATAGCAACATAACATAGATCAGTCTGAATAGGTCCATGATATAAATAGCTTAAAATGAATCTAAATATTTTTAAATTTCATTGTGCAAAGTAAGAAATAATATTCATACTGCCAAAATGTTTCAAGTTTTTTTCAATTATTTTTTTTTATAAAATAACATATTGTTTAAGGATAAATCATTTAATGGTTAAATACCCAATTTCCTCATATTTTGAATTTTAAACGCTCATAAAAATGAGACTACTATCAACTTTTAAATTTGAATGAGAAAATCTTCAGCCTAATAGTCAAATTAACATTTGACTAGGTTATTAATGGAGTTTCTGGGAGGTCATGGTCATCAAGTATTCATAACATGGCATTTAACATTAATTCTTCATTGAAGATTATAATGAATAAAATGAAGGCCAGTTATAATTAAATTTTATCCTGTATTTCTTTGTTGAATTATTTAAGTTCAATAAATTAAACTTTAAAGTATTAACACATTTTATTGTGTACAATTTGTATTAAAGTGTTGTGTGTTACTCCCAAAATTTAGAAAATTATGTTTCATAACATTACAAAAACATATCTTGTTAAACAATTGATGAAAATGAATATATAATTCATTTATATTTGGCATAAGTACATAACATATTTTGATTTATGATTTTGTTTTAGATTTTACACCCTAAAAACAATACTAGAAAATCTGACTTGATCGAATTACTTCAAGTTAATTCCATTGATTTAATTCTTAATGATGCAATTGATATAATTGATATAAAAACAAGTGACACAAAGGGAATTTTATGCAAACGATGCCGTAGATGGTCAGCAGAAAAAGAAGATGATTTATGTAAACGATGTGAAGAAACAGTAAATATTTTTTATTCAAAATAGACGAGTAGATAATTTTAATGTAAGTTAATTATACGAGTACAAGTAATATTGTATTGAAAACTTATAAAAATGGTATTTATTGTACATTAGGCTTTTGATATCCGGAAACCTCTTGTGTCAGCTATCCAATTGTATGTAATGAGCCGCCCATCGACATTTGTAGTATATGAACCCCGTTGAACGAGAATAGCGTCCTCTCCATTGTTGTTTGACAATAGTTTACCCATCTTCTCTTCTCCAGTACCGTCATCCAACTTATATCTGTATGATATTTAATTAAAAGTAAAATAACCGTATTATTTTATAATATTAATTACTTTACCGTGATAAGAATTGACCAGAATCATCTCTTTTATTTGTTAGAGACACTAACTCTACTGGGTTGCATTCAATTAGATTAAGCACAGTACAACCAATTACTAATAAAAATACCTAAGAGATACAATAATTGAAAATTAAATTTGATTTTTATTAATTATATATAGTCTAAAAGTATAAATAAATTACTCACGAGTTTCATTGTAAACGACATTAGTATCGAATAATGTGGAGCTGATTGTTTAAGCTATTCAACCATAAGAAGACTGCAGTGTAGAATAAATTCCTTCTCACTACTTTTTATTTTTATTTTTTTTTGTGCCGTGTTGTGCTATTGCCTTGAAGATTAAACAATGAATTATGTTTCGGGGTGTCAAACTGGTTTTACTAATGTATTCTTAAATATACATATATTATAAACATACAAATGTATATATATATATATATTTGGCAGTGTTCGCAGAACATCAATTATCGTTGGACAATTTGTATGTGACAGAATTAAACAGTTCTTAAATGTTTAAAAAATGTATAATGCAAAAGTAAACGGATATAAAGTTATATAAATTATAATGTCACATTTAAGGTAGTATAAAGTTTTATTAACATTAACCTGTTCTACTACTTTTCTTATGACCTTACACTTGGTTATTTTAAGTTAATATTACATTAAGTATAAGTTATTGTTATTCTGTAATTATTGAATAATAATTTAAATTATAAAAAAATGTGTATAATTTTGATTATTTAACAAAAATATCACAATAAAAGTATCAAAATTTAATAATAGACTAATATGATAAAAATAAAATAAAACATAATACAATAATATTGATAAAATTTACTAGATAAATAAATATTGAAAATGAATTATGTTAGAATTCAAAAATTAATTTTAGCACATTGAGCAGTTAAGATAATGTAAAACAAAATACAAAAACATATATATTATTTTATAAATTACTTTAATAATAGGCAATACATTTTACTTTTTAAAATGTTGAACACATTTCATTAATAAATTGTTTTGTTCTAACTTAATCTGAATTTTAGCTATTTATAAATGTTTGTGATTATCAAATGATTTTTTGTTTTTCATTTTGATTCAAACTGAAAACTTAGAATGAAATAAACAATATCTTGGAAACTATGCATTAACTGTTAGTATAAAATACTAGTTATTGAAATTAAATATTAAATTTAAATTATATATTGAAAATCAATTTATATATACCTATTATATAATATATAGTTTTTTTTTGATGGTTAGACTTTACATTATAACTCGCTCAATCACTTAAATCACTTAAATATAATTAGTGGCAACATTATATTATTCAATAATTTCTACATAATTGGCTGGAAATAGACCATATTGGCCTTTGCATAATCCTCTCCACCAACCTTTATCGATCTGAAAAATTTTAATATTATTGTCATTTATTTATAGAATATTTAAATTAGTATCTGTATTAAATGCACATTTAATTTAAATTTAAATTTACTGTTTATATGTACAAAGCATACAGTTAAAATGTAATTAAATTATAGTTGTGCACACAGAGAGGTACCATAAGTGCCTGGTCACTTTCTGACATTTTGTATTTAGAAAAAATGTATGTTTCAAAATCAGGGGCCATACTTTATATAATTTTACAAATAATTAATTAATAGTAATAAATAAGTTCATATTATGTTGATTTGTATTCAGTTATTAATGGGGTAATAATTTAAGTAAAAGGTGTAGGTATGTTATTATAATAACAAAATTAAAGTAATATACTTCAACATAATTATTTATTTAAGTTAATTGACTTATCAAGAGGACCCAAAAATATATTGGGTACTCCCCAAACCAGATCCATGCACACTTATAAATTATAATATAGTATACATATAAGTTTTTACCATTTCAATGTTTGTCACAATATCATCAGGATCAAAACTTATTTCATCATCAGCCGCTAAAAAAATATATATAAATTACAATCATATACTAATCATTCAATCTGAATTATTTCTAAATAAGGTTTACTTTGTGTAAATTATTTATAAGCCTGAAGGAATACATTTTAATTAAGTAGATTTAAATATAATTATAAACTTTGGAGGCATTTTTAATTTATAATTTAAGTTATCATGTAACAATTATTGTTAATTAAAATAAATGTATAATACTCATATTGAAAAACTAAATAAATAAAAAACCTCTAAAACATATTTTATAGAATAAAATCTACACTTACATGCTTGATAATCATATAAAGCCACAGCAATATATCCACCTTCTGGATCTTCTTCAGATACTGCTCCATTCTTAAGTTGCTCGTGCAGTTTTTGTTCTTCTAACTGTCTTTCTTCTTCGAGTCTATTTTGCTCTTCTTTTTGTTTGGCCTCTTCTAATTTAAGTTTAGTTGTCTCTTCTTCTAGTTTTTTTTTAGCCATCTCTTCTAATTTTTTCTTTGTTAACTCTTCTTCTAATTTTTTCTTAGTCATCTCTTCTTCTTGTTTTCTCTTGATTGCCTCTTCTTCTAGTTTTCTCTTGATTGCCTCTTCTTCTAATTTTTTTCTGGTTGCTTCTTCAGATTTTTTCTTATCTTCTAAAATTTTTTCTTCCTCTTCTTTGTTTTTTAATTCAGCTTTAGCCAAATCTTCCAATTTTTTCTTCTCATTCTCCTTTTTTAATAATTCTTCATTCATTTTTAGTTGTTCTTCCAATTGTTTCCTCTCATGTTCTCTCTTTATTTCTTCATTTATTTTTTCCTCTTCTTGCTTCTGTTTCAGTAAAATATTTTCTTTTTCAATTCTAGATTGCTCTTCTTTTCGTTGACGCTCTTCTTCGTCTGCAGCAATTTTTTTTAACGCTACCTCGTCATTTTTCACGGATGGTTGAATAGTTGCACCAACGACAACAGGAGGACGAATGGATTCGTTAGATATGGATAGCTCTTCTTCATCAGAATCAATTTTCTAAAATGTCAATTATCATAATAATTATCAATTAATCAAAAAATTACAAATTCTAAAATAGCTTAAAACTTCACAAACAAATTATTGAAAAAGCATATATTAATAATAATTATTATTTATTATATATGGTGAGTATCAATTAAAGGTTTACAAAAAAGGATTATTAAGATAATAATTACTTAATAAAAACAAAAACCAAATATGAGAGTTGAGAATGGTCAATATTCTCTATTGGTTTAATCATTCTTATTTTTTGTTTATTCAGTATATAACATTAAAACACCATTACGGAATTTTGTATTTTTAAGTGTTGGAATAGCAATTCCAACAGAACATTATTTGGCGGAAACCAAAACTTGTCCATTCAAAGTTCCGTGGTGGGAATGCACGATTAGGAAAGTGGAATAATTTTTTAGTGGTTTGTAGGTATTTGAGTGGGAGAAATTAAGGTACGAAACAGTGGAGCTCGTCATTTAGATGCACAAAAGCATAGCCTTTTCTTGGCGGCCGGAGTATACACGACATAATCATTTTATTTATAGTTTATTATTGTTAAATATAATCTGAAACAATTATAGTTGAAAAAGTAAAATTGTAATTATTATTTATATTATTAAAATTAAAATTAAGCCCTTACAATACATTAAGCCTAACTAGTAATTACTAGCCAATCTACTATTAATCCACTTTGTTTTAAGTACTGGTATTCAAAATTTAGGGAAATTATATCCATTTTTTTTTTGATATTGTTTTATTTCTAAAAATTACATTTAAGTGTTCTTTATAGTACTTACTGTAATTGGAGTGTTTTTCTTAACTTGTTCTGGACCATCAAGAAGTTTCTGTTTTTGTTCTTCTCTCTCTTGTAATTCTTTCAAACGTTTTTCTTCTCTTTCACGAGCTTCTTTTTTTTCTTGTAATTCTCTTTGTTTTCTTCTTTCTTGTTCTAATAAACGCCGTTTTTCATTTTCTTCTTCTTCTTGCTTAGCCATATTTTCAAATTTTGCTCTAAGACTTGATGGTTTAATACTTGCTAAAAAATAATGACAGTAGAAAAATATTATTTTTTTAAAATACAGCTCAAAAAGAAAATGGCTTAAATTTTTTATTTTATTTAATACTAGTTTTAAAAGATAAATTTTAAAAAAGTAACTCAAATATATAATATAATTGAATACATACTTATCTCTGGTTTCTGTTTTTGATAATTTGTCCCAACCTGACCAGAACTTTCATTATAATTATGAGCAGATTTATCTATCCTATCATTTTGAACACCAAACTTTCCTCCAAAACCCTATGCATTGTATAATTATTTAATATAAAATGTATTTATTTAATTAAAAATAACTTACTTTACTATGGTCTACTTGACTTTGATGTTTCTCAACAGTTTCTACACTATCCCACCCTACAGCAGACTTATCTTGACGATCTGACTGTACACCAAATTTTCCACCAAAACCAACAGCGTAATCTATAGACCATAAACATTTCATAAAAACTAATTATTTAAAAAATATTTATGTAAAATCATACCTTTTTGAGACTCATGCTTTTGTAATTTTTCCACATAGTCCCAACCAACAGCACTCTTATCCTGTCGATCAGCTTGCACACCAAACTTTCCACCAAAACCAGAACTATAATCTTTCTGAGATCCATGTTTTTCCACTTTTTCTTTATGACTCCAACTCACAGCACTCTTAAATAATAAATAAAGTTGAGAATAAAACAATTTTTAAGGACGTGTCCTATTACAATAACTGTACTATATTTTATTTGTATTATTTAAAAAACAAATAAATTTAAATAAAAAATAAAACTGCCAATACCTTATCAATTCGATCTGATTGAACACCATATTTACCACCAAAACCAGAACTGTAGTCAGTCTGTGAAGCGTGCTTAAAGTGAGGTGCAATATAGTCATGTCCAACGGCAGATTTATCCATTCTAACAAAAACACAATCATATTAGTCTACTATAAAAAAATATTTAGTATTAAATTAACCATACCTGTCAGATTGCACACCAAATTTACCACCATATCCAAATGCTGCTTGGGGCCCTTCTTCCATTTCTTTTTTTTTTAAAACTTCATGAGCTTTAGTCACTTCTTCACGTAGTTGACTCATGCTAAACGAACAAAAACAGTAAATGAAATTTGTACAAATTCCAAAAAAATTATAACAAAAGTAACCAACTCGACATGATCTAATACACGTCCAGAACCAGGAATGGTGCGAGAGCCCCATCTTTGTTCTTCTTCGCTCACGTCGTTCACAAAATCTGGATCAGTCTCCCAGTCATCATCCGCGTTCTCGACCGGTATCTCAACATTAACTCCAGCGGATGACTTCCACATAATGCTCTTCAAAAACTCTCCTGTATTCCACTCTACAAATCCATGTAGGTACAAAATTGTTTATTTATGTAACATATGATATACTAAAAACGTCTATATGGAAAATTAAACGATCACAAAATTCGAAAACTGGGCCACTTAAATAATATCAATATGACTAATGAGTAATATAATTATTATTATTTATTAGTGTATAGATAAGTGTATCTAATGAATACAGTCAGTGAGTGGTCGTCGTAGTCCCATCGTCTGTTATCTAATCAGAAAAAATTGCCATAAAAAAAAGATGACAACAAATCATGGAAATAATATTCTTCTTTATCATTTTTTTAAAAAAAAATAATAATTTTTTGCAACTACGATTTCGAAATCAGAGGGCAGCGTCTGCGCCCGGCAAACGATAAGGTTTTGTAAAAATGACAAAACAATTTGTGGTCGAACCGGTTGTTAATAAATTGTAACAGCCAATTACTATTTCACATATATTTTTATCACAACAATTATTATTTAACTGAAGTGTATCATAATATCGAGTGTCATACATATTATCATAATATTATATTGTGCTCACCGACGCGCGCAAAGGTGCAGCTGCTTTTTACGGTTCGCACCAATCACACCCGCGTCGTTATTGCGGCAGGGCGTCGGTTTGGATGTTTCGACTCGTTTTCGGTCTATTAATGAAATCCCGGGTCGTGACGCGGTCGCATATTATTATTATTATTATTATTATTATAACATGTACACTGCAATGTGTGGGTATGAATGGTTGGTGTTAACGTTATGCACCGCGATCTAAACAATATTGCGCCCGTATTGTTTATTTGTATATTGGTATTTAGATCTTATTATTGACAAACGCGAGCGTGAACGTTGCGCGATCGCATCGATCGGATATCGTGTAGAAAACGGATTGCAATTGACCCGACACGTACGTCGTAGATGTTATAATAATATACTGAGTGATGCTGCAACTATACAGTCATGCTCACCTCCCATTTTTCCTTTTAAAATAAATTTATTTAAAATTTGATTTTTGGGATATTTAATAGGTATTAAGTACCTATATACTAACCTATACCTAACCTACCTACTTAGAGAATATTTCCAAGTTATTGACACTTATTTGTACCGGGTTGGTCTGTGCAGTATAACAAACATCTGATTTTCAAACGAGGACCACTCCCCCCCCCTTTTTAATGTACATTATTTAGCGGATAACTTTTTTGAAAATGTTGATGTCCCTCATCTCAAACGATGAAACGTGTATGCGTATTTTTCTATTATTAATACGTTTATACTAAAAGATAGTCCTTAAAAATAGTTTTACCAAAATATTTAAAGTATGTAATATTAGATCTTCTACTGAATCTAGTATTTATCCTGCATATATACTTAGAACAATTTTACAAATTAAAATATTGATAGATATTAATAAACAATAACTTATATTTTCAAATCACCATAGTCAAAGACTCCAATCCCCATGAATCATAATTACTCCAAAACTATTATTGTGGACCTTAGCTCTAAAAGTTACGAAAACTTGTTCAAATTTTTATTTTGAAACATCGAATTTTCAAGAAAATGTATCCGCTAAATAATTCACAGTAGAACATTGGGTTGTCATTTGTAAATACAGAAGTTTGTATCTCCACAGGACATTTCTCAAATATGTAGTGCAAACAATTTCAAGAGTTTTAGGATCTTATAGTATTTGAGTACATATTTTAAAAAGGTCAAAAATCAGATTTTGAGTAACTGCAGTATCGAAGACAAAAGAAACGAATCACTCTATATTATACTATATAGTGGGTAACATAATAATTATATTGTATTATATTTATCCATTTCAATTTCTATTGCTTATAACGGGTATACAATATAAGTTAGGGTCGGCAAGTGGGTGGCAGACATGGACCAATTGCTAGTAAAACAAAATTTGTATTTTAGGGTCAATATATATTATACCAATAATTACATTGCCTATAATTTAGGCCAGTGTACAAATTGCTTGTTTATTAAAAAAAAATTAGGAGCCCCAGAAGATTTTATGCTGCGGGCCCATAAAATCTTAGTTACGCCATTGTAATATAGGTAATACCTATAATAATTCAGGTATAAAGTAAAAAAGTATATCATAATCACATTATTGTGGTGTTCCGGTCGCTGCTGGTCGTATTATTATGTTACACCTGTATGGTAAATGCGCACCACATTGACCACCGACTATGGATTTGCGTCAATTATTATATATATTATTAATATAATACCTATTATGATATTATATCGTTATGTTATTGTATCGCGTATTGTGTATCTCACGTGTGTCGTTAGTTGCGGTTTTTTCGGTGATTATGTGGGTGGTGGGTGCCGACTGTGATTATTGCAGTGGCGACAGCATGCGTAGGGATATCTTAAACCTTTCGACTTTCGTATAAATAACGGCCGCGTCCACAACAAACGTATACTTCACCGTCGTATCTCCACAGATCAACAACAGCTCGAGTTCAATATAATATTTTAACAACACATAATATTATATTATCATCCAATTTGTTGTTGACTTTTCGACTCTCGATTTTGTCTAGCCGTCGTTGTACGTTTGCGAAAAAGTTTATATCTTTTATACTTAACTTACCTATCAGCCGCAGCTACAGTGTCTTAACTTTCAACTCCGCGCACTTGTTGGATTCGTCGAAGCATTCTTCAGTCAACTCTAATACTATATATATCATATATATTCACCAATTCATCATGATCGGAGTACTCGTGAGTTTAATTATGTATTTATATTATGATGCAATACCTTAACTAAAAAGTAGGTATATTGGTAATTCAGTTACCACATGGCACAAGTCGTCGAACTAATATACAATATAGAGTATAGATTATATTAGTATAATATATAAACATCAACTTTTGAATAAGATATATTTAATTTGTACCTACAATTATTGTATAATATGTCATTTCGAATATAGGTAATTTATTTTTGCACTAATAATGCCATGCCGTATAATAAATGTTTTATAGACATTTCGAATTTAAAATTCAAAGACAGGTTATTACCTACATATTATACTTATAATACTTGGAAGTATATAACAATTTAAATTTCAATACATATAAACACTGTGTACTATATTATTGTATAATCCGTTGTTTGTAGTTATTTACTTCCATTAGGTTTCAAAAAGCTCGTGTGTGGCTGCACACCCATTTTATAATCACGACCGCATGATGACTATATTATTGTTTCAAAAACTAGTTCACTGCATATTTTGTGTATTATTGTAAAACGAAGTATCGTGATAAATCGTTTTTGTTGGTCTGTTGTACTCAGGCAATTGTTTTCGCGGTCCAAGCCACGGCGGTGCTGGCCGGCGGCGCCCGGTACCCGTCCGGACTGAACCCGGCCCTATGTCCCAATTATCCGCACTGCGACAACGTGCTGTTGGCCGCGTACGCCCAACCGGGAGCCGGCAACGATTACAACGACCATTACACCAACAACAACAACGCCGGCCAGTATTACGGTTCCGGTTACCAGCACCACCCGTCCGAGGCGTCCAACTACCACAACAACCAGCCACATGTCCCAGCACCGTACACCGAGCCCGGCTACCCAGCGGGCCTCTCGTCGTCCAACTGCCCTAACTACCCGTACTGCTCGCACCAGGTGCCGGCCGAGGCGCTCAGGTACGCGCACAAGAGATACCCCGCCGGCGTCAGCCAGCAGAACTGCCCCAACTACCCTTACTGTCACTAAAGATCCGTTGCCTATAATATATTATAACAATAATATTACTTCAAGGGCGATATATGAATATTATGTATAATATTATTATCATTTGTATTTAGTAATGATGACGCTCACCCTGCAAGCACCGAGTTTATGTTAATTTTATATACCTACAGTAGATTCTTATTATTTTGACGAACTCAATTGAAATCCCCTTACAAATAATATTACCATTCCAATAAAACTCGATATTGAGCAACTTTTATCTGCAGTGTCTCTTGAGTTTAGACATAACGTGTGTTTACTGTATATAAATACATTATACTTCGGTAGGTACATTGTGTTTATAGCTAAACCCAATACATATATCTATATGGCTATATATATCATCTTTAGGTACATATTGTACATTAAACTCCCGTTTATTCGATTAATTATAATTATATAATTCTAATATTATACTTAAACCCTGAAGTGCTAAAGCGTACCATATCACACTATATTATTAATATTAATATTATTATATTATATTGGAATACGTATCACGTTACTCATAATAGTTTAATATTTTAGCCATAATTAATAAGAATTATATTTTTTTGTTTTGAACAACTTTACCTAAATGGCGATGTATAATATGATATACCTACTATATATACAATATACAATATATATTATACATAAGACATAACACCATATATAATTATTACAACAGAACCATTGATTATGTCAACTGCGCTTTATGATATATTGATTCGTTTAAGTTAAACGTATTCTAAATATTTGTTCTTTAATTTTATACAAGCTTGAAAAATTCAACAATACATTACATATGAATAATAATATAATTGTGTTATTATTTCGATTTTAAGATTCAAAATAAAAAAAATATTACAAATTTAATAGAATTGATATTTAAAAATAACAATGGGAAGGGGTGCATCAGCGCCGGCAGGCAAATGAATTTTAAGAATCAAATTTAAAAATTGTATAAAAAAATGTACATTAAAAATAAATGTTGTAGACTGCAGTTTAGAATATCAATATTCCTAAACTCATAGCTTTATTTTCAATAATTAGATAATGAAACAATGAATTATTATATGGTACTAACTTGCTTTCAAAATTTAAAAATGTTTTTATAAATTTGAACTAGAGTTAAATTATTCAAAAAAAAAATTTTGAAGGGAGGCATGGGCACCCGCAGGCAAATGAATTTTAAGAATTAAATTTAAAAATTGTAAAAAAAAAGGTACATTAAAAATAAATATTGTAGACTGCGGTCTAGAATATCAGTATTCCTAAACTCATCGCTTTATTTACAATAATTAGAACATAGAACAATGAATTTGAGTTAAATTAATGAAAACAAATTTAAAGGGGAACATGGGCGCCCGCAGGCAAATAAATTGTAAGAATCAAAAAAAAAAGAATATTTAAAATTTAATATAATTGAAATATAAAAATAAAAATGGGAAGGGGGGCATGGGCGCCCGCAGGCAAATTAATTGTTAGAATCAAAATAAGAAAAATTTTTAAAAAAATGTACATTTAAAACAAATATTAAAGTCTGCAGTCTACAATAGCAGTAATCCTAAACTCATCGCTTTATTTTCAATAATTAGATAATGAAACAATGAATTTTTGTTTGGTACTAACTTACTATCAAAATGTAAAAAATGTTTTTATAAATTTAAACTAGAGTTAAATTATTCAAAAAAAAAATTGGAAGGGAGGCATGGGCGCCCGCGGGCAAATGAATTTTAAGAATTAAAAAAAAAAAATATTAAAAATTTAATAGAATTGATATATAAAAATAAAATTGGCAAGGGGGGCATGGGCGACCGCGGGCACATGAATTTTATGTATCAAATTTAAAAATTGTATAAAAAAATGTACATTAAAAATAAATATTAAAGTCTGCAGTCTACAATATCAGAATTTCTAAACCCATCGCTTTATTTACAATAATTAGAACATAAAACAATGAACTTGAGTTAAATTATTGAAAAAAAATTTGAAGGG